TACGGCGCTTGCGTACTCAGAGACCTCTTATGGTACAGACAGCGGTAAGGAAATCAAATGATGATACTCTTTATTCCAATAAGCATCTTAAATGTCTTGTGGCTCTGAGGGGGGATATAATAATAGCTGAAACGAAGTTTACGACCGTAATCTTCTTTTTCTCGTACGAATCCATGCCACGATATGTCACGTTCCTTTTTACGCTTTAGAAAAGAAGTGATAAATTGAAGGAAACGATTAAATGAAATAACGGCAAGAAAGCAAATATTTAAGACATAACGATAAGCAGTTTAGGAATAAGGACGCTTTTGAATGGAGAATATCAACAGGGATTGTAAAAAACAAATTTGAAGAATTTATTCAAAATATTTCCAAGATGCACACGACAGAGCTACTTGTAAAGATGCTCAAAGATGCTCAAAGATGCGATAAAGTTGGATAATATTCCACATGAAAATGATCAGTTCAAGGCTAAGATGATTACTGATGAGCACAGGGAGGGAGGGGGGGGGAGTGGGATTATTTATGAGCAAAGTGCGTAAGGTGTATAATACCTCTTTCAGACCCTTACCCTTTTCTCCATTCTCGTTTCTAGCCAACAATTATTTTCTCTAGGTTATATAAGTTCAGTCTGCTCCTTGCTATTTGTGACCCGTTTTCCCTTGATCCTTGCGGGACCTTGAAGAGCATGTCGCTGTTACCTAACGCCGTCGATCCTCGACACAGTTTTTTACAGTTTATGCCAAGTGAAACTACAAAATTAAATTTTTTGAATGCATGATCATTTCGGTGAGTACACTTTATTATTCTTGTCATATCCGCATCTTGCTAATCTTTGACTGTCTTTTCCGTGACAGGAGCAGTACAAGTTCTGTTACGAAATGGTACGATTGTTTGTGGACTCCTTCAGCGATTATGCGAACTTCAAGTGATGCCAAAATACTGGAATATCTTCACAAACAAGACAAGTGCTATACAAAGTGTTGCACATTACGTGAGGCCTCTTGTCTCAGAGAGCTGGTAGAGCCCTTTAACATTATTTATGAAAAAGATTCAATGCCCTCTTTGTTGGAGAAGTCAGCACCATTTCTCATCAGATAGAGAGAACAGACAACTCAAGAAATAGATACAGTGATCTTTTCTCGATGAATGAAAAAAAAACCCTGTACGGAAAGAGAACTTCATGCCATAACGAAGTGAAGTTCATGAGTTGTTGGTAGTGGTTCTTTGAAGTTAAAATGTGCTTCCCAAGTATACATTAAAAAGGAAAGGAACGATTGTTTCGATCACGGTATTAATTTTGTTTCTGCAATAATGTTTAATTTTCATGGGTATTTTCTTGGAAAAGTGATGTAATAATTAAGATATTTTAAAATTGGTGCTAAATTGCTCAGACGCATAATTCTAGAATCTCTGTAATTACAACTGGACCTCACTTGACTTTTCCACGGTTTCATTAGGATTTCATCCCTTTACAAGCGCTCGGGATGTCCCGATAGAAAAAGTTTTTCCGTGATAATTGTTGGGATGTTCTGACAGCAAGTCAAGGGTTATTTTTGTGTAGTGCTATTTTTAATGTAATATTTTGTATAGCTTCGAAGAAGGCATGCGCGAAAATCTTTTCATTTTTGATGCTATTACTTATTTTATTCATCCAATTGTATAAAGGCTTTCAGTCGAAGAGAACAAAAAGGTATTTTTTATAAGAGTTATTTCTTTAGTAGCAAGAACTTTTTTCAACAGTCGTCAAATTTACAAGATGCAAACGACACATAGAAGTGTAGAATACCTTTGTAGACAGAATTTGTAACACATACCAGTGCATAAGGTATTTTTGCAGCATGTAGAAACTTCAAGCCTATGACTCGGATGGAGAGCCGTAGTTTTTTCGCAATTTCTCTCACGAATTATTTTTCATTAAACAAATTCGGAGCCATTGAATATGCATCGCTCCATATTTGAGTCTTGGGAAGTTTTCATGGTAGTATTCTGTGCTTCAGACTCGTCTCCAGTCATGAGGAAGGTTTAGAGGAAAGCGCATAGCATCAGGGGAAAACGTAATCTTAACGTCCTTTTCAGCATGACATGCAATGTTAATTATTAAGACAACCCCTTGCCCCCAGCTTTGTTGCCATTCGGTAGCAAATGGTATGACTTTGTCCTCAAAACAATATAGCAATAGATTCCAGACTAATTTTCAAGGTCCAAATTCCCAATCTGCAAAATATGGCTTAGTCTTAAACCTTCAAATATTTTTACCACTTCGGTTCTGGATTACAAAAGCATTTTAGTAATCTAAAAAGTGGTGCCCAAGTTTGGTAGGTCTGTTAACTCTTGTTCGTCACTATAAAGAGAACAAAATCGAATAAATATGCTTCGAAATCATTGATTGTATCAGTTGTATGTGCTGTAGCTTAGAGAGCGAATTCTGCTGCGGAAAACAATAGGGCTCTTTTGTCTGTTATTTTGTTTACCAAAAACATGGTTCGTGCAGAACCTGTCGATCAAGATCGCTCATGAAAAAGCTAAAACATCCACTTTGAGCGTCACCTTCGTTTGATGCCCCGCATTCCGCTCGTTGTGTAGCTTTTCGCGCATGCTAAAGAAAGTATTGGCCCGAACGGACTCGCGCGATAGATGATCAAATTCTCTCAGCCACAGAGCTGCGTTGCACGCGTTCAACGCGACGTGATACCGTAAACAACTCGGGGTTTTCTTTACATTATTTGTTCTTTAAATCGATCTTTATCTTTGAGACGCGAATCTTCAATTATAAATTTCTTTTTGAGAATTTATGATAAGCATCATTAAACAAAAGGAATGGAGATTGGACAGAAACCCAAAAATATTGTGAATGGCTTGGATTGTATACGATCTGATGAAAAACACGAGACGTGAGAACAGTTAGAGTCCATTGGCTGTATGATTTACTTCAATTATTAAGTCAACATTAGTGGCTAGATCCATAGGTAACTGACACACTCTTACGATCTAGGAAATCAGCATCTCGTTACTCAACGGAGTTACCGAAAATCCGCAACATGCCCCTTACCCATAATGTCAACAAGCGCCCCCGTCACCCCGTCTTTCACTTCCTCGCATAGAAAGATCAAGCTGTTTCTGTTTCTATCCGCTCCAACTTGAATCAGTACAGGAAAATTGTTTCATTTCACTTCCTGTTTTTTCTATTTCCAGCTGCTTGCTTTTCTTTTAATTTTTGTATAAATTGCTGCGCCCTTGGTGTACGCTGTTAACTTCCCAGGAACAACTAGACCGTTCTCTGAAATGTTTACTGTTAAATCCCATTTATTTTTATCATTTTATCATCAATAAGGACACTGGTGCTTGCTCTAGGAAATATCGCACTTGGACATGTTTCAAGGTCGTAATTACACGCGAGATGAATGCGACCTTAAAACGCAAGTTTTGATAAAAAATAATTAATATTGTGCTATCAAACACCACATTTCAAGGTAAAATTATTTTAAGTCAGTTGCAAGAACGTACTGGTTAGAATTTGAGTTTAAACTTGTTAAAAACCATTAACCAGTAACCACAAATGCTTCAAGAGGACTTAAGGTCGGAGCCTGATTATCAGCGCTTGTGCAGATCGCTGGAAATGCCTTTTAGGATGATAGACGAGAACCTCAAGGTAATTTAAAGCTTAGGAAAGACATTATTAACAGTTTACAATCTCTTGCCTCAGGCTTTTCCACAGGAAGCCCAAGTAATGAGCTCTTGAAACACAACACCTCCATTTGCTGTGAGGTAAGAGTCACGTTTCGCTAAATCAAACGGTTGTTACGTAATGATTTAATCGCAAAGGTCACGCATTGCTTTTCGTTTCGCACATGGCCTTTTTCTGACGGAAAATGAAAAATATCCGTCCTCTTTCAGTGGATCTTGATCACCTGTAAGTAAGATTGATGTATTAGAGAACAGCGAGGATATTGGCTGTTTTGATATTAAATCGACTTAAGGGATCCTGAAGAAACTATGTTAGGAAACCACATTGCTTTCCGTCCCAAGCTAAAAATAACCCACGTTTCGTATACATCGACATATTCAACACCCTCATTTCTCCTCTCTGTTCCCTTATTTTCTCTTGGCAGCAGCTTCTTAAAGACACGCTGAAAACCATGAGCAGCGGTGTATAAAAATGGAAAGGTACCCATTATACAATAAACTCGCCTCTTATATAAGCCGCAGATTATTTTCCTCGCAAACAAAGGCCCTAATGTTACAACTGATAAAAAAGAAAACCTATTCATCTCACGTAGGCTTATAACCTTAGAACATATTCAGCTTTGTATACCGTGTTATCGGATGAAATTCCAGCTGGGCGGTTTCAAACAGAAGCTCTCCCACCCAAAAGTTTACATAATCAAGTGTTATCAACTTCTTCTTTAGTCTGTGAAGAACACTTCGTGGTCATTTCTTACATCCAACCATGCAAGATCTCTCTGCTTGCACTTAAGAGACCCAAAACGCCCCACAGCATTCGCCCTGCTAGAAGTTTTCTGATTTTCTAAAGCGAGAGACGCTAGAGACTAGTTGCCTCGCCTGCAGAGGTTTAAAGGGCGATGAGGCCGAAGATTTAATGGTCTTTTACATACAGCATACTTTTCCTTAGCTGTAACAGTATTTGAAGGAAAACGTTTACTTCGACAAATATAGCAAGACGCGTTTATTGATCGTAGGCTTACACAAAAACAAAATCATAATCTCAGGGATCAGACACGTGACCGGACCATATATAGTAGAAGTCCATGTGCAATTTTTATAGAAGCTAATGTAGTGAAGTGGGTAATCAACGTTCCTCATGAAGTCACAGGACAACCAGGTTACGTAACAAACAGACGCATCTTGCTGTGACGTATCTTAGGGAGGGGGGGTTCTATGAGGCTCGCTCTTCGCTGGAATCACTCGTCACTTGCTATTACAGAGGGGCCACATTTCCCTGAACTTTCCTTAGAAACTGTAAAAATTTAGGAAGCTTGGCAGTAATCTGCTCCGGTTCCCAGTTTCCCTCATTTAGTACTTGGTCCCATTCTTCACAGTTGAGATGAACATTCGGCTTTTCATGATTGACAAAAGACATTAAACAAACAAAATACATTAGTAATGCAAAGAAATTAAAAACAATATACAAATGCTGTAGCAATACTCACATCAACTGATCCCATTTAAGCACAGAAATAATTACTGATTGTAACTCCACGATACCTCATGGTCACGCTTCAGATGAATTGTGGGTCCTCTCATATAAATATTTTACAACGACGTTAATCCGACCATTCACTTCTTGTTACCAAAAGTTTACTTCTATTAAGAACCGAATCTTATTCAAATTTTCCAAATGAGTGGACATAACTGTTTAATAAATGCGACCCTTTTCGCTTATTGCCTGTATCTTTTAAAGTAATTAATAAAGACACGTCACCGAGCTGCCCACTTTGGGAGGTGGGATGTAAATGTAGAGATGTGATGTGAATGTGATGTGAATGCAATGTGATGTGAGTATAATGTGAATGTAATGTGATGTGGTGTGATGTGAATGAGATGTGAACGTAATGTGATGTGAATATAATGTGAATGTAATGTGATGTGGTGTGATGTGAATGAGATGTGATATGAAGCTGAATGTGAATGTAATGTGATTTGATTTGATGTGAATGAGATGTGAATGTAAGGTAATGTGAATATGATGTAAACGTAATATGATGTGAATGAGATGTGAATGTGACGTGTGAGATGTGATGTGAATTTAATGTGATGGGATTTTATGTGAATGTAATGTGAACGTAATGTGATGTAAATATGACGTATATGTAATGTGATGTCATGTAAATGTGATGTGAATGAGATATGATGTAATGTGAATGAGATATGATGTAATGTGAATGTGATGTAATGTGAATGCGATGTAATGTGAATGTGATGGGATGTGAATGTAACATGATGTGATTTGATGTGAAAGTGATATGATGTGAACGTAATGTTATGTGAATATGATGTAAATGTGAATGTGGTGTGATGTGATGTAATGTGAAGTGCATGTAACGTGATATGATTTGATGTGAATGTGATGTGATGTGAACGTAATGTGACCTGAATATGATGTAAACGTGAATGTTAAAGTGAATGTGATGTGAACGTAATGTGATGCGAATGTGAATGTGAAAGTGAATATAATGTGATGTGAACGTAAAGTGATTTGAATATGATGTGGATGTAAAAGTGAATGTGACGTGAATGTAAAAGTGAATGTGACGTGAATGTAAAAGTGAATATGATGTGATTTGGATAGACATGATGTGATGCGAATGCGTTGTGATGTGGTATAATGTAGTATGATGCAAGTAAGTAACGCACCGATGACTCAGTGAGCGAAGGGACAAACAAGGCTGTTTGGTGGACACTAAACATCTCAGGCATCAAAAGCGACGGAACAACAGGCAAGGCAACAAGGTTGTGGCTTAAGTTAATCTTAGGGCAAAAATGAACATCTGCCTCTAAGCCCGATTCCGTTGCTTTCCCTGTACAATCGAATCTGTTCAATCCTACAAATGTATCTCCATATGTTCCAAAATAGAGTCGAGTTTCGTGTATCTAAACCGTAGTTATGCTACTCCTTCAGATATCAGGTTTTAAACAAAATAAATATGAGCTCATATCGCTAACTAGGCCACCTGTGATCGAACGAAGAAAAAGTGATATTCATGAAGAATTGCACCTGATGGTGAGGACGAATTTGAATCAGGGAAATGTATATAAGTGTTAAACTATTTGTGTATGATTAACAATACCTTCGCTTCTGATTCATTGAAACTGTACGCATCAGTCTGGTCGGCATTCACTTTGTTTAACTGGTCTTTGCTAACCGTTAAAGTAAACGCGTCTCCGTCATGTTCATACCGATATGTCTTTCGAAGGCAGCGGCGCTGAAAAGACAGGTCAAATCCCTCTGGTAGCTCGGAAATTGGTGGAAACTTCAGCTGACCATCATCAATCCTCATCTTCATGAGGTAGTTTTCTAAAAGTTTGCGCTCTTTTTCTGCTTGTGGTTTTGTTTGTGGAAACTTTGGAACTAAAAGAGGAAAGAAGTGAGGTCAGGCTATGTCCTTTTTTGTTCTGCATAGTAACATACATGCAATTTTTTCATTCGAGTCTCAAACCTTAAATTATCGCCATTTCAATTTCATTATATGTGATGGGTGGACCAACCACTTGAAGTTAATTATATTCAGATTTTAGGCCCTGCCCTTTCACCGACCAGGCTTAAGGTGACCATCAAACTTAGTCTGGCGTGCTAATAACCTATTTAGCCTGAAATTTTTCTGTTCTTGAATGGGAAGGAAATGCCACGAAGTTGTAAGCAACTATATTATCATAAATGTCCCAAAGTCATATCTAGAGAAGTAAATAACACGCAGAATCATATGATACAGAATCATAATATTTCTTTCATCTTAAGTTTGAGAGAAACGTTTCCTTACATGTTCGTATTTTCAAACGGCAATCAAATCCTGCAGACGGCGATAGAATGTCGATTGTCATTTGCTGATTAAATGTATCGCTGATGTAGAAAATTGGTGAGTTCGATGTATCTCCACTATGGTCGTCATGCAAGATTTCTGTCAAGGTGTTTCTGACAGAAAGTTGAGGGCTGCGACGGAACGCCAGGGAAGACGCTGAAGCGCCTTCGACCCCAGGTTCTTTTTCGATGAGCCATACCTAATAACAGAGGGATAATGATAACAAATAAAGAGAGAAAATTTGGTCGGGCCCTGGCTAATTTACACCGTCTGAAATCTTGGTGAACTGGTTTAACAACACTTTTGTATTCTTTAACTGGCCAGACGCGAAACAAAATGTCAGAAGGCTCTCTTCTGCTAGACGTGTAATCATGCTTGTCTGTTACTGCAGTGTTACGAACCCTACACAGCCTCTATTTCGATAGCTCAGAGTTCATCAGCAAAAAAATTACTTGAAACTGCTCAAGTTATAAGGATCACAAATCAAGACAATATCCCTTAATTCGTCGTGTTATCTCCCTGTACACTATTTGATACAATATGCATAATAGAACACCATGGTGGTCACAGAGCTGCCTTAAAATCAATCGACACCATAGGTTTGATAAAAAGTATAGAAGGCCAGATCGTTAAGAACATTTTGGTAGAGTAGAAACACGCCTTCAGGAGCTTTAATAGAGTTAATAAAAAGCTGTTGAACGCTATGTGAACTGTGGGGGTTGTAAAATTTCCTTTTATCTGAGCTAACATGGCTTAATGTTTGGGTTAGGATGGTTAGGACGGAGATCTAGCATTTTTCTCGATCGAACGTTTTAATTGGTTAATTTAAAGTACATGAAATGGCAGTAAAACACAATTAGAAAGGTGATGGCGTCATAGCCCTACTTAACGATGCTTAACGGATTAACGAACAAAGGTGGAGACGTGAATCAGCTTGGGTTCGACATCTGTCTACCTTTAGCTTGACATAGATGTCTTTTTCGGGTTGAGTGTGCTTGCTTAGTGACCTTAGTCTAGAGGCAACGGTAGCCCCAACCCGGCAGGAAAAATGATTCGGCACATTTTTGGGTTAGGATGATGAGGATGGAAATCTAGCATTTTTCTCCATCGAACGTTTTAATTGGTTAATTTAAAGTGAACGAAATGGTGGTAAACACAATTAGTAAGGTGATGGCATCTTGGGCCTAGTTAACGATGCTTAAGGATTAACGAACAAAGGTGGAGACGCGAATCAGCTTGGGTTCGACATCTGCCTACCTTTAGCTTGACATAAATGCTTTTTTCGGGTTGAATGTCCTTGCTTAGTGACCATAGTCTAGAGGCGACGGTAGCCCCAACCCGGCAGAAAAAATGATTTGGTACATGGTTAAATTACCTTGACTAGAAATTCTAAACCAGATGGTGTTAAGAAGGTGAGGTCGTATCGTAGGTCATCACTAGCTGTGCATGCATAAGCTTTGAGAGACTTTTCAGTCTGCTCAACTTCGATTGTCTCAACTTTCCGGAATATTGTCTCCCAACGATCGTCATCCTTTGATTCAATTCTCGCTTTGACCTCCTTCAGGCTGAAGATGTCATCCGCTTCATCTACCGAAAGAAGTATGAAAAAATCTCTAATTGATACCTCACAAATTCGCCGAAAGACTCATAAAATCTACAGGACTGACCTTCATCAACCTTGATTAGGTAGGCGTGACCAAAATAACACGAAATAACTACCATGACCATCTCCTCCTCCTTCTTTTTGTGAATTTGCTTCAAAAACCGCAGGACCTCTTCTTCTAGGATTTCCGTGCCCACAAAACCAGAGGGTGTTTCCTTTGAAATAATACATTCATTAGTTGAAGTAGCCGGCAAGATCTAAAAACACACCTTTCATAGTGAGACGTTCACAAGAACCATCACGCACAGTTTCGTGGATAAGAAAAAGTCTAAGAGATAAATAGACCTGGTGTTTGCAGTTCTTAAATTCTCTTCAATGCTTGATGATTTCTCGACATGATTTCATCACATCGTTGGTATAAAAACCTGAATGTAGCTCTAATGTAAGACGACGAAGCAACTGCAGTTCTGTACTTTTATGCTGAATCTCTTGTAGTGCCGCCTTTTACTTCCAAAAACACTCGCCCATGGGCGGCTAAGCAAGTTAAAGACGAAGCCTGCTGGCTAAACTAGTTTTTGGCCGACGGAATGGGTTGATGTGTAACTTTTGCTTGCAATATCATTAACACTCCTAGATTACCATCTAGCAAATATCGTCTTGTTGTACCAAGAGATTTTCAAAAGGGACATTAAAGAGAATCTATGGTAGTTAGAAAGGATAGTTAGTAATCGAGTCTTGCGAGCGAAGGGACCAGCACAACTGGTTCTGTTTCCGTGAGTGTCTCAACGAACTATTCTTTTTCAAGTTGAAACGGTGGTCGAAGCCCTCTTCCAGTACTCCCAGGAGGGTTCCGATAAAAATAGAGTTGAATAATTAAAGAAAAAATAAAATTATTAGCTTTCACAGCATTTTTTGTTAGGTATTTCCTTCAAGACAGATTTGAATTCAACGACATACCCCTTTTAAAGGATCGTCCTCTAGTTTTAATTTGAAACACTTGTCACTGGTTCGTGGCGGTTGTGCGATGGATAGCTTAAACTCATGGTCTTCTTCCAAATGTGCAGTGTCCACATGGACAACTTTTGCAACGTATTTTTCCTTGCCTCCATTCTTCATAGGGGAGAAAAATGATAATCGCATACATAACATGGTAAGTAACGTTCCCTTTGAATTCAATAGGCATTTGGTGTAATTGTTCCGGTTATTAGAGAGATGCACGCGCTCTGATGGGTCGAGGATTACGTCTTACCTAACTATAATCACCTCGCGCGAGGAAGCGCGAGGTAATTGTGGCAGGAGTGCTAAATTTCAAAGTGGTTGCCTCGCCTTTTGTCAATGTTTGCGAGGAAGTGATGAGCACGATAGAAGAAAATTCAACCGCGAAAAGTAAAAGAAGGATATTAAGTTTTTGTTGATTTAATTAAATAGACCTGCCAAAGCTCCTTGCTTATCTTGATACGAGTAATCACCAGCACCTGAGCAATTATACTAAAACAATTATCGCCTCAGGCTCAGTGAACACTGTTGAGTAATCCTCGAGACGATAATTCAACAACATTCACTGAACCTGAGGCGAATAATTGTTAAATATACACCTCTGTAATATCAAAATCATACGTATTGTGTGGGATTTATCAAGAGGACATGTTGGGCTTGTTACCTGATTATGGCCACTGATGTCTTCACCATTAAAGATATGTTTTATCCACTGGTCACTGAAGCCTGTTACCATAATCTTTTTATCAGGCTCCCAAGGGGAACAGAGATTCTGCAGGCGATCGAGTTGTGCTTGCATTAGGAATTGGGTAATTGGTTTTCATTAGCGGTGGTCAATTATGGAAGTTGTACCTTAAACTCAGCTTACTAGCAAGCACAGACAAGCAAAATCAAATTAACTGACTGCTCATTGACTGATTCGCTCCGTTGCTTGCAACTTGATAATATTCTGGGAGTCGCTGGATATTGGTATTCTGTCCCTTGGTGATATCCACCTGAAAAATCCCACAAAGTACCCTATATGTCACAGAGCGACTTACCATGGTTTCCTTTATTTCCCGAATAGCTTGCTTCTTGCTCTCAGGAGATCCCTTGATATACAAGCTATTCTTCTTAGAGACTTTCAAAGTTGCCTTAGTTTTCGCTTCTATTTTTTCCAAATTCTTACGGTTTTTCCCAATTACTTTAGCCATGAAATCTTCTGGTATGAAGGTCAACTCTTCCCAAGACCCTCGGTCAGGGCTGTCTTCTCCCTGGTTGACATGTTTAAAATGCAAAAAAATATTGAGCTTTAAATGTAGTTACGGGAGTGAGAAAAATTACGGAAAGAAACAGGGAGGCGCGCATGAAAATGAAGGAACGAAAGTGACACAAAGGGTGGAAGGAAAGAGGGGAGGAAGGTACGGAAGGAAGGAAGGCAGAAACAAAGGAAGTAGGAGGGAGAGGAGGCAAGGGAGAGGGTAGAGATAAAGGAGGGTTGGAAGGAAGGAAAGTAAGTGGGAAAGAAGAAAGGAACGAACAATAGAAAGAAGGAAAGAAGAAAAAAAGAGAGGAGGAGGAAAGGAAGGGAGGAAGGAAGGATGCAGGAACAGAAGAATGGAAGCAAATGAGGAAGAATGTAAGGATGGAAGGATTGAAGGACAGAAGAATAGATGGAAGAAAGGAAGCAAATAAGGAGAAATGGAAGGATGGAAGGATTGAAGGACAGAAGAATAGATGGAAGAAAGGAAGCAAATAAGAAGAAATGGAAGGATGGAAGGATTGAAGGACAGAAGAATAGATGGAAGAAAGGAAGCAAATAAGGAGAAATGGAAAGATGGAAGGATTGAAGGACAGAAGAGTTGAGGGAAGAAAGGAAGCAAATAAGGAGAAATGGAAAGATGGAAGGATTGAAGGACAGAAGAGTTGAGGGAAGAAAGGAAGCAAATAAGGAGAAATGGAAGGATGGAAGGATTGAAGGACAGAAGAGTAGAGGGAAGAAAGGAAGCAAATAAGGAGAAATGGAAAGATGGAAGGATTGAAGGACAGAAGAATAGATGGAAGAAAGGAAGCAAATAAGGAGAAATGGAAGGATGGAAGGATTGAAGGACAGAAGAATAGAGGGAAGAAAGGAAGCAAATAAGGAGAAATGGAAGGATGGAAGGATTGAAGGACAGAAGAATAGAGGGAAGAAAGGAAGCAAATAAGGAAAAATGGAAGGATGGAAGGATTGAAGGACAGAAGAGTTGAGGGAAGAAAGGAAGCAAATAAGAAGAAATGTAAGGATGGAAGGATTGAAGGACAGAAGAATAGATGGAAGAAAGGAAGCAAATAAGGAGAAATGTAAGGATGGAAGGATTGAAGGACAGAAGAGTTGAGGGAAGAAAGGAAGCAAATAAGGAGAAATGGAAAGATGGAAGGATTGAAGGACAGAAGAATAGATGGAAGAAAGGAAGCAAATAAGGAGAAATGGAAGGATGAAAGGATTGAAGGACAGAAGAGTTGAGGGAAGAAAGGAAGCAAATAAGGAGAAATGGAAAGATGGAAGGATTGAAGGACAGAAGAATAGATGGAAGAAAGGAAGCAAATAAGGAGAAATGGAAGGATGGAAGGATTGAAGGACAGAAGAGTTGAGGGAAGAAAGGAAGCAAATAAGGAGAAATGGAAAGATGGAAGGATTGAAGGACAGAAGAGTTGAGGGAAGAAAGGAAGCAAATAAGGAGAAATGGAAAGATGGAAGGATTGAAGGACAGAAGAGTTGAGGGAAGAAAGGAAGCAAATAAGAAGAAATGGAAGGATGGAAGGATTGAAGAACAGAAGAATAGAGGGAAGAAAGGAAGCAAATAGGGAGAAATGGAAGGATGGAAGGATTGAAGGAGAGAAGAATAGAGGGAAGAAAGGAAGCAAATAAGAAGGAATGGAAGGATGGAAGGATTGAAGGACAGAAGAGTAGAGGGAAGAAAGGAAGCATATAGGGAGAAATGGAAGGATGGAAGGATTGAAGGAGAGAAGAATAGAGGGAAGAAAGGAAGCAAATAAGAAGGAATGGAAGGATGGAAGGATTGAAGGACAGAAGAATAGAGGGAAGAAAGGAAGCAAATAAGGAGAAATGGAAGGATGGAAGGATTGGAGGACAGAAGAATAGAGGGAAGAAAGGAAGCAAATAAGAAGGAATGGAAGGATGGAAGGATTGAAGAACAGAAGAATAGAGGGAAGAAAGGAAGCAAATAAGGAGAAATGGAAGGATGGAAGGATTGAAGGACAGAAGAATAGAGGGAAGAAAGGAAGCAAATAAGGAGAAATGGAAGGATGGAAGGATTGAAGGACAAAAGAGTAGAGAGAAGAAAGGAAGCAAATAAGAAGGAATGGAAGGATGGAAGGATTGAAGGACAGAAGAATAGAGGGAAGAAAGGAAGCAAATAAGGAGAAATGGAAGGATGGAAGGATTGAAGGACAGAAGAATAGAGGGAAGAAAGGAAGCAAATAAGGAGAAATGGAAGGATGGAAGGATTGAAGGACAGAAGAATAGAGGGAAGAAAGGAAACAAATATGGAAGGATGGAAGGATTGAAGGACAGGAGAATGGAGAGATGGAAGGAAGGAAAGATGTAAGGATGGAAAATAGGCGGGCCTTGTGACCCACTCACAGTCACTAACATTTATGCTAACCACTAAAATCATCAGTGCAAACTTTGCTTTGCATAAGTTTTTCTACGGCTTTGAGGAAGTTAACAAAACAACACAATAAATAATAACATAAAAGGGGTAAAAATAAATGTAAAACTCACACATAGGACCTTTCTGATAATTTGTTTTGCACAGGTGCGTTGTTCATCTGTTCCTTTTATGTAAACACGTTCTTCCTTGATGAATAAGTCCTGGATTCCACTTTGGGTGATTATTTCCTTTCTTCTCTTACCTTTTTTTCCTATTATAAGTCCCACCTTTCTCTTTGGGATGTCTATTTCTTCCTCCTTGAAATTTGTAGTGACAGCTTTTTCATACCAGCTTGGTTGGCCTTCTGCTTTTCGTTTTTTATGTTCATCTTTCTTCTCTTGTCCTTTTGATTCTTCACCTTTCAACGACACACTCGACATCTCTGCCAAAGATTATAAATTTTTCTTTCATTTGCATTCTATCTCTTTCTTCCACTCATAATTAGCCTTGGAGTAGTATTCAGGTTAATTTTTCTCTCCAAACTCAGTAAAATGAATGTGAAATCATAAATGCAAAGTCATGAATGCAAATCATCAACAACGCGATCGCAATTTGCTTCCTTATGTGCCCTTGACAACTAAGTATACAACTGTAAAATGTCCCATTGGAAGTTCTACCCTGAAATTTCGAGAGTTCTGATTTAAAATTGTCTAATACATGAACTTCCCATTGAGCTTGCGTAAAGAAACCAATCAAATTGCAGGTAAATGAAAACAACGTTTGCAACTTCCCATAAACCAGCTCACCACTGGATCAATAACATATTTGCATAATAAACAATCAAAGCATAGACTAATGAATGTTTTGTGCCGTACAAAAGACATATTTACTGATTTTGAGCCAAAATTGCGTGACAGGTGTAGTTGAGAGAAGCATGTCATGGTTACAGATTTTAAAAGGCATTCATAACAAAAATACAGCAGTGCCCAAACATTTTTTTGATGCTTCTTAGAATTCTGGCAGGGAGAGAAATTTTGCTTCAAAGTTATCAAATATTTGGATGAATCGAAAGGTCTAATAACTTAGTCATTCATTTGTCTCTGTTGATTGACAAGCTTTCCATCAAATTGATCAATAATTGTGTTGTACATTAATTAAGGATGTAACAATATGTACTAAGCAAACCCTTAGAGTAATCAACTAGATACCATCAGAGTAAGAGCTTCATACATTTTACCTATTTTGCAATGATTTCCTCAGCTAAAACCAAGAAAAACCGGGGGGTGTTCTACAGTATTGTGCAAAAGTAATGCAAACACCTGTCGACGAAATTCGACGAAATTCCTAGCTTTTCGACGAATTTTTGACCGAAACGAAACTTCGACGACATTTCTGCGAATTTTCGAGGCATGTATTGTTTTGAACGGCTCGAACTTTCGGCGACATATTCCTTGATGGCGTTAATGCGACTCGAAATTTCGAGCGAAAATTCGTTCTATGCGGCGAATATTCGGGGCGATAATTCGTTGCAATTGTTCATTCTTTCAAAAAGATTTTGCTGAATTTGTGGTTCGGTACTGCTCTATGTAAAACTCCCATGGAATTTCCCGCTACGATTTGAGTCCTCCGCGTGACCTATGTTGTTTGCAACCATGGCAACACTCGGTGTATCAATTGTGTCGATGCGTTTGGGATCATTTACGTACTCTACTTTTGGTAGTCATCGTGGCCAAAGTTTCAAATTATTCTACAAAAAAATAAAAAAGCCCCTCCACAAGCAAGGCCTCCACCCAGCTGAAACACCGAAAGCGTTGAAATGCGACGGGTTACTAGGTTTTACTACGCGCATCATTTGAAAGTCGCGTCTCACCAGTTTCGTGGTAAATTTACCTCGATCGGGAAGACCTCAAAAGCTGTCTATGGAAGCGAACAGTGTATGTAGAAACTGTGCAAAATAAGCATTGGCAAAAGATGCTGGAATTTACGCAAAAATAGGGCAACGTGACCTAAATAATAGTTGTTTCAGCCGTCATTTACTAATATTCAGTATTTTGTCGCGAAATGTAAAGTATTTCACACTTTTATTAGCGTCTGATTGTGTAGGATCAAAACGAACTAAGAACGCTTAAATGCTAAAATACTGCACGCGCTCTGAAGCTCGCGTTTTATATATATGTATACATAAATTGTGAAGAATAAATATTTCCAAACAAACATGGGTATAATGATATCTGGAAAGCAATCAGCGATATAGATGCTGTCTATTTGCGTAGCGATTGAGAACGAATAAACAAGGAACACATTTCTCGATTGACAACGTTTGAAAACACTCAAAACACGTTCTCTGCTCTGTCTGGTTTAAAAGCGGAGTACTGAAGTTAATGTTTAAAACTATTCCAATCGTTTGAGAGGCTATTTCCACCAAACACATGTCTCTTGGTCGCAATTGCTGTGTTTAGTCTCAAACATTAAGTGTCTCTGTCGCGGTGAAAAAGGTTGGAAATACGTTTGATAACATTTCGTGTTGCTTACATGAATAGTAAACAAACTTGATCACTCGCAGACGGCTACTGTCAGTTCGAAGCGAAATTTCGAACACTAATGATCGAAGAGACACTTTCCGCCACGAATTTTCGCTTCGTGGCGAAAATTCATCGAAAAAGCGTCCTTTGTTCAGACGAAATGTCGCTTAACAGGCCTTGAACTTTCGATCGAATTTTCGTTCGAACTTTCGACGAAAGATCGTTAGAACAAATAACGAAATTCGCCGAATTCCGCTTGCATTACTTTTGCACAATACTGTATTTCCCCCCAGAAATAACCAAACCTGAAAAAAAACAGGTCTGTCTGTTTGAGTTTTGGGGTAGACCCTTTTAACTGGCAAAGTTTCACTGAAACCAGTGAGATGGGGTGCAGCACGACTGCCTAAAGCTCTCATGGACACACTCTTAACCATTGCATCTGTTCCCCTCCTAGTTGAAACGTCTATTCAGAGGACATTTTTTCTAGTCCTGTGGTGTCACCTAAATGGAAGTTCCACTCTGAACTTCCAAGAATTCACATTTAAAATTGTCAGATACAAGAACTTGTCACAGAACTTGTTTAAAGAAATCAATCAAATTGCAGGATAATGAAAACAACGTTTGCAACTTTCCATAAACCAGTTCACTACTGAATCAATAACATATTTCTACAGCTAGCTCTGACTAAAAAAATCCTGTATCCAAGCAACTGAATTTGGCCATTTCAAAATTAATGTAATATAGTGCTAATTGAAATTTCTGTTGCACAATTTTGGTCTGAAATCATACTTCTGATTTCAAATCGTGCCGACTAAGGTGCACCTCATTTAGGTCAATTACCACTATGAATTGTTTTACGAAAGCGATTTGCAAGCGGATGCTCATACCCAGGCTCCCTCTGCTTCCCATATTTTTTGCGACTCACTTTCCTGAACGGAAAGGCGACAGGAAATAAAACGTTTTACACTGTGGCCAAATGCCCAGCAGCTGCTCACGATCTCAAACAGACTATAAAATACCTGGAAGCTAGGCAATTTTCAGAAAATTTCTCTTGAAATATTCTTTCAAACTTCCCTTTGATATCATGTTTTTCGGTTTGTTTAGAAATGTCGAGCGATCCCAAAAATTCTTTCAGTAAGAAGTCTGTAAAATCCCCAACTTCCGGGCGAGTGTGCCTGGCTACTGGAAATTTGACCGCGTTATGGAGAGCCCCATGTAAGAACAACTTTGATACCGTATACGTATTTAAGTTTGGCTCATTGCAAAATCTCATTCACGCGTAAATTGGTGACCTAAGTGAGGTCGTAAATGGAAATACTTCAGATAATTTGCGAAGAAAGTGGACGTATTCCTTCATGAGAGCTTCTGAGAGCTGATGACATTGAGAAAAATTTCTGCTTTTGTAAACTTGGTCACTCAAAAGAGATTGTCTCTGATGGACCTTTAATTCGACGAGTCTACGGTCCTAAGATTTCCATCGACTTGTTTCTTGTTCATAATTAAGCTGTTTCATGACGATTATGTCTCATTTAAACATACACGCCTAAGGAAAGACTTACAAACCTTTTGCATTACACGAACGTACGCTGGATATCTCACTTTATAAAACAATTCAGATAGTGCGCGCGCTCTGATTGGCCATAAAACCATTTTACATGAGCGTATGTAAACGCGGTTTTCGTTCCTCTTTCATTAGCTATTTTATGGTGGTTTCCAGCTTATCGAGTGTTCTCCCAACCTCCCGCGTGTTTACATCAGGCTATGTAAACACGGAAACCATTTTACATTTCTTCGCTGTAAACACGCTCTCTAATAATAGCAAGAACATTACCTCAAATTTAGAACGAACGCGAAGCAAGCTTCAGGGGTCTTTACGACTGGTCGTACTGGCAGGTGCTTAATGATCCTAAGAGGAACGTGTTTCTTGACGCTTTGGTTCAGCGAATTACGGTAAAGTTACGAGGGAAAGGATGTATTTCTTGTTCTGAAACAAACGACTGAGAAGCTAAATGATAGCGATTCATCGAAATTGACCTCTGACTTGACGCTCAGTCTTTCCGGGAAAAACATAATTACATATTGAAGAGATATTTCCTAACAGGGGAAGACTAAGTTTTCAAGTGCACAACATCTTCTTTCTTCTCTTCTTCTCTGTTTTGGGTCCCAGAACCCACTTTCCTGAGCCGAGACAAGAAGATTAACTAAATGCGGATACAAGTTATACTCACCCAGATCAACACTTCCGCGTGATACTTAGTGAAGACTTGAGCGCTCTCCAACACCCCCCTCCCTTAGGTAACAACTTGTGGACAACCTCAGTAGGAAGTTTTCCATAAAGGTAGCATACCTTCATGGAAAATATGGCGAATGAAGATATCGATAGATTTTGCGAAGATGGATTGCTCCAGAAAGATTACCGGAAGCGTTACGAGGAATTCTTAACTGGGGTGAAAGTAGCTACAAGAGGGAAAAATACTATCAAAGATAGCTCTTGTTACAAACTTGAAACTTACCATGACACGTACAGATATCGAAAGGCGTTACTGAAGGTGTTCATTGACAAGAAGAAGTCGGAAAACTTCAAATTGACCCATAAAACGATACCACAGTTTTTTCGCGAGCTTGAACGTTATACATACACAGAAGAGGCTGCAGATAAACGCAAGGAAAGTGAAACAGGAACTTCTCTTAATATTTTTGGGCAGGATGATTTCAAGGTAGAGGGTGTTGTTATCCGAAAGACAAACCGGGAAGCATGGATTTTGGTGAATAAAACCTGCATGTTTAATGGAAAAAAGAAGTATGAAAAAGTCGAGCTTCTTCTCGACCTTGAAACGTTTGGCGCAGATGATGTCAGCAGAGCATTTCTTAAAGTGGGTGACATTCTTGAGATTGCAAAAGGTCCCAAAGAAACTGAAATAGCTCTGGAGCCAGAAATTATTTGGTAGGTTGAGTACATACGTTTTAAAAAACTGTATTTGAGCATATAACATGATCAGGAACGACACCGCTTAACATATTAATGTTAGAAATGAAAAAGAATTATCCATCAATAGAAGTCTCTTATCTATTGCAAATAAAAGACTTCCTTTGATGGATAATTCAAACCCTTTCCACCTTAAAATAAGTTTGCATATTCTCTAAACTGTTCTCTATATATTTCTTAAGGTGCTAACAAGGAGAATTTGGTAACAATCAATAGCTTTGTTAGTTGGTGATCATTTTCTTTATTCTCATGACCTCAATGTTTGATTCAGGGGTGATTCTGTGAGGAGAAATTAGATGCTATTCTGACCCTTGGGGTTTAAGTTGGGCAGTGACATGGGTTAGTACCATAATACATTACACACCCTTAATTTCCATAAGTTATCATCACCCAACTTCTCACAACATGACCAGATTGTTCAAAAGACAGGCATTGGTTAAATGAAGAACTGTTTCACCTTAAGTATATTTAATTGACTTTGGATGGTCGGCTGAATAAATGGTACCTAAAGGGTTGATTTTTATGCTTTCACTTTTCAGCTGTTACAAATTATCTGAGAAAGAGATTGAAGCATTTCTCAACCATGTGCTTAGGGTAGAAAGTGATGGGTCATCTGCTGCTACAGCTGAGCTGCTAAGGTAAATAATGTCAATAAATAACCTGATTCCAGGGCAGTTACTGGTAAATGAATTGTTTATTTACTCAATACAAAGACTTTTGCATGGCAAAAAACTATCAGTTACAAGTTGACAACTACAAAACACCAATTATCCATGTGCTTGCTCTCTTTTTTCAATCACATCCTATAACAAGTCACAACAACTGCAGTATCCTGCAAGCAGCAGAGTGCCTCTTATTTTAAGACATAAATTGGTTCAATTGTCTTTCTAGTTCCCAGCTTATTGGCCAAATTTGAGTTACTTACTCAAATCCAGTTTTACTACCAGGTAATAGTCCATTTTACAGTGCTTGGTTGCCAAGCCTTTGAACAGGAATGAGGCTAAGGGCCACCTTGTTATGATACAAACCTGTTACTGCTTTTCAAATGCAAATTAATTTGTTATCATGCTAACTAGATGCTGGTCTCTATCACAACAAGATCACCTTCAGCCTCACTCCAAATCAAAGGCTTGGCAACTAAGTACACAACTATAAAATGGGCTATTAAACATATAGAACATAAAAAATCCTTTTTTTGTAAATAAAATACTTTAGACCACACAATTATAATAATCTTAGTTTGTTCAAATTGAATTGCTTAATCTTCCATTTAACTAACTGAATGTTTGTTGAAATCATGAAATTATATAAAATAGGGCACATATATATCAGTTGACGATTCATTCCTTTAGTCTTTAACTGTATGTACTGAAACACTAAGAGTGAATTTTTATATGTTAATGGGGAAAGTGATGTTCAGATGACATGGTATTTTATTGCAAGTAACTTTTATGCACAATATGTAACAACTATTAAACTGAGCTTTAAGCAGCCAGGTAAATATCCACCACTGGCCACTGACTCTGATGACATGCGAAGGTGATCCGTTGTTTTATTATATACTAAAGCAGTAAGATAGTATGGCAGAAAAAGATGATTTAAACTATATGTTTATGGATGCATTAGTCCCACTCGCACTGATGCTCAGAAGTGAAAGGCTATTAAAGAATATTCAGAGTTTGAGTAACCAATGAGAATGTGTCTCCAGCACTATATCCAGGGTTTTATTAATTACTAAAATGATGTTATTTACTGAAAATTTACTGACCCTTATAGCCTCACACTTGTTTGCCCTAACTTGAAGTTTTAGTAAATTTTTCTTGTTATTTGTTTGTTTGTTTTTCTTACAGTTGGGTGTTCTACTGATTTCAGGGAAATTGACTTAATTTACTATTAAAATTCACCATTTCCCACCTGGAAAGGGAATTAACCTGCCTGGAGCTGAAACTGGTTATATTCCCAGTTATTTACCACCTATTCTATCACATTTTTGAAACAGAGTTTTCACAGTTCAAGGCTCTCTAGCTGTGATCTGATTTTTTTTATTACCACTCAAATTGTAAGGGCAAAATTCTTTGTCTTCACAACTCCAATATATTTCTATGAATATTGAAACCTTTAAAACTGATCAGAAGGTCCTAGGTAATATAACAAGTGGCTTGTATTACCCTTGCGAACTGAATTCCCAGTTTTCTGGGAATTTGAAGGAATTCTCAAAAATTCCCAACTGCACAAATATAGGAAAATTTTTGTTTCTTTTCTTTGTTTTTCTTGTTTTGCTTCTTGACTGATCTAATAGTTTTGTTGTGTTGCTTTAATATAATAATGCACTTACATTCTTAACAGGTGTCATGCTTTTTGGGAATACATCCTTCAACATCCTTGGGAAGATTATAGCAACGCAACCAAGAAAAATTTTGCCCACAATGTCTTACTTATTATTGATAAGTTATGCTCCAGTACTCAGAGAGGAATGCTACCAACTGTTCAAGGAATTGTTCAAGAATTTTCAAAGAGTGCCTTCTTCAAATTGGTCCTTCCTGAAATAGTTGAGAATTTAGCCAAAGAAAATTGTATCAGGTAATATTGGTGGCATTGAAAAAAGTGAACATGCAAAGATTTAAAAAATTTTTTTCATCTACTAGTAGATTACAAAATCAATGTGTATGAATTATGACACAGGCTAGCTAAGGGTATAAAATACAAAGAACAAACTGAAGCTTAATTCATGGTTTTCCTCTTCAGTTAAATACAAATGCTAGTAGATTGTGGTGTGCATGATTATATATTAGTCTGAATTTCATACCCTGGCATTACTTGCCCATGTTTTTTTACCCTTAATGTTTGGGTTTTAATACCAAATCTCTACTCTGTGATCTGTTTCATTCAACACTTTGCTTTCAATTCTGACCTAAACATTTTAAAATGAATTGCCAGACAGCAAAAGGGCAAAGTAAGGGACGCCTTTGCAGAAAATGGTTTGTGAGAAGTCTTGGATGATTGCATATAAGCTCAAAAACCAGTGCTTCCTTGATCAATCAATCTTGTTTATTAGGATCCTAGCCAAGGTATCCCTGTATGTGTACTCAATTGAGCCAAACATATTTTAGGCAGCATACGATGACAATTAATTTATTACCAACCAGCTGAAAGTGTAAGGGAGGTGTTATTTTGTTCTTGTCATCTGTTAAGTTTTCAAATTGTCAAAACAGAAAAACATAGTGATTTTGCTATTTGAATCATCAGTGGATCCTTCAAAGTGGTGCAGAATGTTCTAGAACATGTCCTAAATGTTTCACCTTCCTCTGGTCGAAGAGTTCTACCCATGGCAAAAGTTCTTGCTGAAAGCTTAGTGAACAGCTCTTGTGGGAAATCTGCTGTAGACTTCCTGGAAAAGTTGTCACTGATGGTTGCCATTGCAGTGCCAGGGGTCCATGCAGATCTTGAGGCTTTTTCATGGAGAGATCTTCCCTTGCTGCTACTGAGTGAAGAAATCCATAAAGATTCAACAAGTCAGTGCAATTATCAATTAATGATTTAAATAAACATATATTTTTGGTTAAACTAAACCTGCTAACCGTTTTGCTAGGCTTGAGTAGCCGCTACTCAAACTTAAGTAATTGTGTAGTGCAAGCAAATGTGAGTCAAACAGATGCTACTTTCTGTGGTTTACTAGCTAGGTAATTTTTTTCTCATTTTATTACTGATGGACAAGTTATACAAACAAGAAATCCAGATTTGTTAACCAACAATGAAAATTGTGTTAATATCCTTTAGTATATTGCCATTAGACTTATGATGGTAGGTGCATTTAATTATCAATTATAAAATGAGCTCAAGTTTTCATGATTCATCTATTGATTGAAGAAACTAGAACAACTGACTTACCAGTGATCAAGAAAGAAGGCAAGTACCACTCAGAAAAAGAATACTTGAACACTTACTTCAGACTTCTAAGAGAGGAGTGTTTTCACAAGTTGAAGAATGGAGTTTCACACTTTTTAAGCAAAGGAAAGTGTGATTCAAAAGAAGCGATGATGTATAGGTGGGAACAAGTTTTTTGATTTACTTTCAATTTATGGCTAGCATGTGTTAGGTACATGAAGAATAGTTTGGCCTCATTCTACATAATCCTATGGGTAGCTATACTTCATTACTTGTGATTTAACATGAAGATTTAGAAATCAGTGGACTGTGTTTTTGCCCAAAGATTAGAAGTTTGAATTGACCATCAGTTCCACTGCTTCTACTTCATCCTCATCCTCCTCTTCATCCTCATCCTCATCCTCCTTCTCCTCATTATCCTCGTCCTCATCCTCCTTCTCCTCCTCATCCTCCTTCTCCTCCTCCTCATCCTCCTTTTCTTCCACCTCATCCTCATCCTCACCCTCCACCTCATATGCTATGCCTCATCCTCATTCTTTTCCTTATCCTCCTCCTCATCATCCTCCTCTTCCTCTTCATTCTCATCCTCATCCTTAGCCTGGCATCCCCCCTCATCCTCCTCCTCCTCTACCTCATCTTACTCCTCATCCTTATCTTCCTCCTCTTCCTGATCCTCATCTTCATCCTCATCCTTGCCCTCACCCACACCCTCCTCTTCCTCATATGCTCTGCCTCACCCTCATCCTCCTCCTCATATCTTCATCTTCCATCTCCAACACAATTATGTTGTAGATTTGATGTAACATTAAGTCTCTTAGATATTGCAGATGTTATATATTGCTAGTAAAGTGTTGATAGTGATTGCAATTACATCTAGGATTACTCTGAAAGGACTATGCACTCATAAACGAGAAAACTCTCCAACCACCATGTCGATTGGATTGCAATTTACTGTTAACTCAGAGGAAAGGATTGACTGGGGGTGAGCGCTTTGTTAAGTTTGAGGTCTTTGGATGTATAATGTCATCAACAGCTAGAAGGCAAGGAGACCGAGGAAGCCACCGGGCTTATGGGAGAGCCACCTCACCTTACAATAATGAATCAAGTAAAGAAAAAATGCTGCGAGTGTGTGGCTTGGCCAATTCAGTGATTATTTAAGTAAAAACTCTTGCATTTTTGTCTTAAAGTTAAGGTTTGGCAAATGAGTGACTGATGTCAGTCCTATAGGAGATGATGATATAATGCTTACGATACTAGACCAGACAAGAAAGTCAACTAATGATTATAGTTAATGTATGTAGAAATGTGTATGTTTACATCTGCGGTATGTTATCTGTAACAGATCTGCAAGTTGGCTTGTGTATGGAAATCTACTGTGCATTTCTTGTGATGGCTCATTTGAACAGCCTGTTTGGGCTGTAGTGGAAAAGGTAGACCATGAACAAAGGTTGGTTACTTTTCTTAATCTACTTCCAGCACAGACAGCCCAAGAATGAAATTCCTTTACTCACCTGTTGTGTCATTTCAGTGATTTGTGACTCTTGCGTGTAATTCATAGAGGTAGTAACTAAAAGTAGTCACTCCACTTAAATATAAATGGCATGTTAGGAAGCTGCTAGGTCGAAATTGCTTTGGTGAGATTAATCTAATTGAAACATTTTTCTCAGTAAATATGAATGAATTTAGGATTCTACTTCATAGGGTCATGGCCAATGGAGGGCTGTTTGACTGGAAAAAAGGTTTTTGTTGGAAAATTGGAGTTACTAAAATGTAAATTTTCTTAAAGCTTTGCTGGCAGTAAAGAAGAAAACAATCCCTGCATTTTTCTCTTGTGGCTACTGATTAACCCCAGCTCTCTAAATATGCTTCAACCATAGAGTGATATGGGTGGCACTTTGTGGTGATAAAACAAACAACATATCAGAGGCAGAATTTGTAATCAAACTACAAGGGATAACAGATGATGGTAGGTAAATTAAAGATAAGAGGGAATTGATGCTTTTGATTGAGGTTTTTAAAGAAGCTCATTTTTGTTGTTAACTGACAGCACTTAATTATTTGAAAGTTAAATGAGCTACTCAAGAATGTAGTCTTGTCAACTGACTTAAAGCTGTAAACAACTGATCTTTGAAAAATTCAATGTTGTTACTCAATTGACTGAACTAGTCAGTTGCACGGGAGATGCTAACAATAAATTGTAGGGGGCGAGGGAGGGGAGGGGGTTTAGCTTGAAATAGGTAATTAATAGCAACCTTTTTGACTGATAGCCATTTTGTTATATTCAGATCTGTACTAATGTAAGGATTAATTTTACTTGAAAACTAAGAGATCAATAATACATCCCACTAATGACATTTTAAATAAAAATTTGTTGCAAGGTAGCATCAGGAGAGGTTAAATATGCCCTGTTTCACGTTCGACAGAACTACCCATTGAAGGGAAAATAGCAAATCTTTTTCTCATAAGCATGTGGGCTAATTTTTGCATGCCTGCAGTTATGAGTAATGTAGTGCCCAGTTCAGGATTAGCCTGGCAGTATAGTGACAGAATCACCTAATTTTCGGTTGACATTGTTTATTTTAGTTGAAATCTGATAATTCTGGATACAGCACATGACGGCAGAGTTTTTTCAACCTTTCTGCAGTCAAATTACTCACCATTCAGTCACAGACTGTTATTACATAAGTTATATCGACCTTGAGTGGTATGACTGCGTTATAATGCGGTGCTGATGAAATACCTGGACGTGTATAACACGATTGTAACACTTTCGTTTTTCTTTTTTGGATACCTTTAATAGGGAAAGAAGCTCACATGGCTGAAAGCCAGACATTTTACCTGTCTTTTGGTCCGGCTATGGATATTTTGCAACACAAAGGTTGATCATCGTAGATCCGTCTTATCACAGTTATCAATCACCACTGGCAAATTAGCTCAGTCTCAACACACAGGTTGATCATCGTAGATCCGTCTTATCACAGTTATCAATCACCACTGGCAAATTAGCTCAGTCTCAACACATAGGTTGATCATCGTAGATTCGTCTTATCACAACTATCAATCACCACTGGTCTATTAGCTCAGTCTTATGATATCCTTTAGTCATCCAATAATGTCCTATGTGATTGAGGATATTAGTGTTCATGCATCCTACGTAAAGTGTTAACTGGAAAATTTCTCATAACCATTATTATATTAGTTAATGTTCTTTATCGACTGCAGAACGTTGACCTGATAATAATCTGAACTGTTTTTGCCAATAATTGACCCGTTCAGAGATACATACATACATACATACATACATACATACATACATACATACATACATACATACATACATACATACATACATGCATATATGTTTGAAAAAAACTTTTAGTTTGCAAACAGTAAGGCAGTAATTTTCAAGTTGTCCATTTCCTACATGCTGGTGACTCTTTTAAGTGCGAATTTTGTAGGAATTCTTTAAAAAAAAGTTGTTAGATTCTTAAAAGATGCAAGACAGTGATGTATTTGCTTTTGTCAACAGCTACGTGTATGATTAATTTTTGACTGATATTTTCTAGATTCTGTTCCGTTCAAGGATTTCTTAGTACATCCAGAGGCCAATCACATGTGTCAAGCTGAGTACGTTCGTAAAATAGAAGCTCCTCCTGACTGGGGAATCATATTTGAGTCTCCACCAAAGTCACATGACCAAGATGAGTCTTCAGTGTACTCTCTTGTGGAAGACTTTGAAAGAATGAAATTATCAAATATCAAGGCAAAACTAGATGACACACAACTCGATGCAATTGACCTTGCACTTAAGAACAAAGTGGCCTTAATTCAGGTATGATTGCGTAGTACCTGTTGATATTTTTGGGTTGTCTATAAAATCTTAAGGGTTTTGGAGGATTACGGATTACTTATGAGAGAAAATGTTTCAATAACGACCAAGAAAGAAAAGCTGTCAGCCTACGTTTTGCAGATCCCATGCTTATATTTCTCAGAAAATCTGAGAAGTGTGGAAAACATTCGAAAACTCAACATAGGTCAGTTATGCCCTCAGCCCCGTGATCAGACGTTTAATGGTATTACTACTGACAACCACGATCAAATTTCCAACATTTGATTGCATTGTGCATAATGCTTTGAGTAGTTTGATTGAAAGCTCATAGTGATTTCCTACCGGCACTAATTTTGTAATTTTTTAATTAAAATGGCCTACATGTGATACATACATATATAGTTTATTGGCTTGTCCTCACGGGGCTGTTCAGAGTCAATATGAATCCTAAAATTTTTATCTTTCATGCAGGGACCTCCAGGAACTGGGAAATCTTTTGTTGGTGTGTCTCTTGTTCATTTGTTATTGTCAATGGATGTACCGAAGACATTTGGACCCATTTTTGTAAGTATTTAATGTATATTGAGAATGCATTACTCCATAATCTCTTTGTTCAGCCCCCTCTTGATTTTTAACCGTTCCCCACTTATGAATGGACTAAATTTATCATATGCCCCTCTCTCTGTCGAGTCCGCCCTTATGGTTGACAATATTTGATCTGATGAGCCATATACAATGCACTAAATGTGAAAACAAGGCGTTTTGCATGAGTTTGTAGTTTGTTACCAAACGAAAGATGATTGATATGTACTACGACCATTTGGTATTTGTCAACAAAACAATAACAGGGGCACGTAAAGGAAATGGTGGACATATCACATAATGCCAAATCTTTAGCAAAAATTCAAAAAGGCGTGACTCAGAAACATTTATTTCCGGAAATTGTTTTCAGTTGTGTAGAGGCTTTAATGTTGCAGATAACATTAATTGTTATGAAAATGCTCACAACTTGAGGTAAGAGCTAAAAATAGTGTGACATGCACATCGCATGAAATGTTCAAAAAAGGTTTGTTAGCCTGTGCTGACGCCGCCGCAAAAACGATCAGTGAGGGTTCGAGTGGAAAGACCACCTGTTCCAAATTTCTCATGTTTGCCACTTGATTGATTTGTAAAGGTTATAAGCGTACTGATGTTTTTTTTCCTTTCTTACCCTGTTATTCTTACTTGACTATTCAAAGGTTGTCACTTACAAGAATGACGCTGTAGACCATTTCTTGGAAGGGTGTCTAGATTTATCGTCTAAGCCCAGAATTGTCCGTGTTGGAAAGTCATCAAGATCAGAAAAGTTGGAGGACTGTCTCTTGTTTAACGTAAGATTTGTTGGATCTACCTGGGCTTGGCTGTTTGAAACCTAATTGAAACTAATCCTGGGTTACATATACATAAAAATAATTCATTTTCATGATGTTTAAATCAAGATTAGTGCTAAATGTCCTTTCAACAACTCGGTCAAGGGTCCGTAGTAGTGCTGCTGCACGTTACTGCTGATAAAATTTTGTTGGCATTTGTTGGAACCATCACCGATCAGATGACACTATAGATTAAAAATGAACTTTTGAAACGTTTTGCTTAACATAGCCTTTTCTTTCAATTACTGGATTTTGTCTATTTTACTTGCCTTACTTTAGAATTTTCACGATATTTTTCTAGTAAGCAGTTTACGTGAAGTTGAAATTTAATGCAAGCTCTTTGCCACCAGCTAGCAAGCAGTCCCTCTTTAAAAGCGTTGCGGCACGAGCGTTTTTTCGCCCATGTAGAGGTATGGGTCCTCAAGCGAGACCTCTCGCGAGCCGGCGAGAGGTCCGCAAAAGCTTTGGCACTACTTCTCGTTATTTGTACCAGATCCCTTATAGACCTCTCGCCGGCTCTCTTTGCTCAGGGTCTGAAACCTACTCGCGGGCAAAGGAGCGGTCATCCAGTAATAAGCCTGCGCATTTTTGCATAGGTGTGTAATGAACTTTAAATGATATTTGATTTGACAATTTTCCTTCTAAATAACGCTTGTGTGATCTCTATTCATATAGGTAAAGTCAAAGTTTGTGTGGTCTGAAGTTCTCAAAACGCAAAAAGAAAAACTCAGAAGTCAACTGCGAAATATGCAACATCTCGTGAAAGAGGCATACTCGAAACTTCAGGGTTCCTGTGTTTTTAATGCTGATATGTTCATCCAGGTGTGGATCTATGTTTTAAAGTACCCCTCAAGGTGTTAATTTGTGATTCAATTATTCCAAGTGACAAAGGGTTATTATAAACCTTATGCATGTTCATGTGAAACTCGATGGAAGACGGTTGGTTGATGGTACATTTGCCCGTCACCTTATTACTCCATCAGGAAGGCAATGGGGCTTTGATTTCATACCAGTGACGTACAATTCTCCCCAACTTTAAGTTCTGATTATGTGAAGGGTGGGTAATGTTACTATGTGATTAGATAATTATTTGGCGGATAGTATAGTTTGTTTTCGAACACTTATGCACTTTAGAAATTAGTTTACCCGTTGGATAGCGTTATCCTACCCTCAAGCTTAGACTGTGCTGTGTGGCCCTATGGAATAGCTGCAAAAACGTACTTATGTTCACCCTAAAAATTTTTCTTAAAGACAGCAACTGAAAAACAGGTCAGGGAGCTCCTGATAGAATCAAATGACCAAGCGAAGGTGGATAAGCTACTCAAAGAGAGAAGCATGGATGGGTCATATAAATCTCACTTGAAAGGTGCAGGAATATTTCATTTGTTAAACCTTTCTTACTTTTCCCGACTTAGATTCCGAGATGTTGTATGTTTTTTCCTCAAAAAATATTTTGATATGAGAAAAACTTGAAATTTTCGTAGGGAAAATTTTCAGCGATTTATGAAAGATCGACGTCTGCCAAAGGACTGAAATAGTTTCAATAATGATTTAAGTTTATAGTGCAAAACGCAGTTGAAGTGTTGTTCTTTAAATTTGAATTTTTTACTTGGTTAGCACTAAAATAGTTCAAAATGAGTCGAGACGAGTATTTAATGTTTTGTTCCAACGTGTTTCTTTGGTGACATTATTACCTTGCTTATCTGACTAACTCCCTTGCTTTGAAGAAAATCTCTCTTTGTGTTGGACGTTACAGGGCGTGTAAGAAACGCACTAGGCAAGTGGCTTCCTGGACAAGTAGAATTTGATCGGTTTGCCAGGGAGAACGGATTTCCAGGAACGAGTAGCAAGCCTTCACATTCAGTTACTGAATCAAAGTCAGAGCGCACAAGGTACTTTTGATGCTTTCATTTATTATTATTAGACAGAAAAAAGGTAAACAGGGCAAATTTGTGGCGATACAAGTTGAGTGAAAATCGATGAACGCCCGTTGGCCTACCTGAAACGAAACAAAACTTATCTACGTTTTGCAATGATTGCAGCTTTATTCTTTGGTACTGCAAACACGGAGTAAGGTCGTAACTGCACAAGCGCAGCGTGGCGCATTTCTCTCCGAAGGCATTTACCGGAAGAAACCGGGTGTCATTCTAATTAACTGAGAAAAGAATTTACATCAGCGAGATTCTCGCGAATTCTCGCACCTCGTAAACGGTTGGGGCTTGCGATAGATTTTCAGAGTGACTTGAGAGTCCGAAATGGTCATCAGGATTTTGAGGCAAGACGCCGACATATGATTCACCTGGCTTTTTATCAATAGTCCATTTTACAGTTGCGTGCTTGGTTGCCAAGCCTTTTACAACAAGGTCACCTTCAGCCTCACTTCAAATCAGAGGCTTGGCAACTAAGCACACAACTGTAAAATAGCCTATTGTCTAAGCTCGCGCTCGAGAAGTCAATTTCGTCTTAATTCAAGGAATTCCGTGCAATAAAATACAGGCATTATAATCAGTCTAATCATCTTCGCGGCCTCTATGTTTTCAGCAGTGTCATATGACAACCGTACCGTGAACGCATTATACAAACGTTTGCTTGCCTGACGATCTTTTCGGCACGCACTCGACAAGTCTTCGAAATTGTTGGGGAATAAGCTTGGGAAGAAAGTTCATTTTAAAATTTGAATGTTTAGTGAGTGAAGAAACATCACGTCACGTGTTTCTATTTCGCCGTGAAACAAAAATCTTACAAGTTGAACTGTTTACCAACGGAACATTTTCATCTGGCGCATGAAAAACAATGTGCTCATACTTTACTCCAGATCTCTGTATCAAATCTTCTATTGTATAAGGCGTCTTACAATGTTAATATACCACCTCATTTACCACATTCGCCTCTTAAATGTCCACAGTTAATCGTAAAGTAGGCTATGCTGGATCGTGGATCAAATCTGACCATATAAACGTTTTGAAATTTTAACCTAAGACGCCTTACATACTTTATTTTGAGTGATTGTACACTTAATTCGTAGTAGAAAGAGTGGTTTATTGACGTTTCTCCCCACTGCAAGTTCGCCCCCTGCCAGTTCACCCCATCAAATATAGCATGTTCGCCCTACGTTCACTATTTTGCCCAAAGATCTTCAACTCGTCTCCTTACGGCAAAACATATGGCCATTGTGATTTCTGTGGCATTATACTAGCTGTTGGTAACTGTTGCTTGTTTTGTCAGTGACAAGTTAATAGCTGCAAAACCTGGTTGTTGAAATAAGTCCTAGGCTAGATCTGAGATCTTATTTGTTTAGTGAAAATATTGATCGCCACTCTGCTACATGCAGAACTAAAAAGCGAAAACTGGATCAAGAACAGGAAAACCCCGATGACTTCCGAGAGCCTTCTGTAGAGGAAGATGAGCGGATTTCCTCAGCCTTAGAGTACGAGTTTCCTGACGATACGCAAGATATTTCTGACACCAGCACACATGACACATTTGGAGAACGAAAACTTATTCCCATGGATGAGAGAAGTGAGTTTTTTTGGTTTTAAGTTCTACTTTTTAAATTTGATAAATACAAATACCAGTTTAAAAAAATTGCAATTTGCAAAAAAAAGTATGAAGTATATACAGCTTCTGTTTTCTCATCAGTGTCTCTTTTTGATGACGAAGCTAAGTGCGAAGCCTTCGACATGAAAATAATCTTTCACTATCATGCCAGCAAAACTCGTTTTCTTTAGAAAGTTGGGCATTTAGCTTCGTTTTGAACGTGAGGGTTCTCTGGAACTCGGAAATTTCCTATTAGATATTTACTGGCGTCTTATAGATGTAACCTAACCTTTATAGCATCCTCAAAAGATTAACCTTTGTCTAACATCTGGTGCAATCATTTCCATACATGGAGAGACTTTAGTATATGATTTGGTGAGCAAGATTGATTTAACCAATGAGAACGTTTGAAATACAATATCCCAGGCTGAGAATTAAATAGTTGGTAATTGAGAAACCACTATAATGGTCATAAACCAGATCAGAACATCCCATTTTCTACCGTGATACGGATTTTGTACATGGCGTGTATGTAAAATGGCATTTTTCCATACTAGAATGTTATGTTTAAAACCATTGTTATTATCGTAAATGTGATCTTTTGCCAGAAGTTGACCACTTCATAAGGTGCTCAGATGAAACAAATATCTGGGTTCTCAATCAGCATGCAAGGATTCAGCTAGTGTATGCTCTTCAAAGCTTGTATGCTGAGAAGGCCCGTATGGAGTTTCTTGATGTGAGCAGGGAGGCCCAGGAGGTAAAACACAAGCTTCGATTGTGACAGTAATAACGTCAACTAGAAAAACGTTGTTGAATATCTTTTACTTAATGTTTTGTTCTTCCCTTTAGCCACAAAAGATGTAGTTTCAAAAACATCTTTTCACAGTGATCATGATAGTCTCCCTTAAACGAAGAAAAATGCGCAGATTTGAAATATCCTCTTCTATTTAGTTGGTCATCTATCAGTATATAAACAAAATGCGTTGTAAGTAGTACATTATGTTGTAAAAAGAGCCAAATTGATGAAAAAACGGTGTGTAACCCCATCTTTTCACGTGAAATTGGTCCGGCTATCAGCGAATTCGTTCTCATAACAACAAGTTCTTCTTTGTACCCTGAACACCGAATATGTATTTTGCACAATGACCCATTTGTCTCGAATATTTATTTTCGTTTCAGGGTCCCCTTTAGTGAAGAGCGAACTCATTATTTTGAAATTTTCTTACCGCTCATGTTGCTAGGTTTTTTATGATTTCATTTATGCACTTATACTTGGTAAGGTAGGGAGTGTCTTTTAAGGACAATTGACTTGGCTGTGCGCCTTTCCTTTTTCTCTTAATTTTACTGTTGAACTTATTCACAGAAACATCACCAGTATACAGCGTTGAGAAATAAACATGAGATCGATGTGATGAGGCAATGTGAAATTATTGGTATGACGGTGACTGGTGCAGCCATGAGAGCCAATCTGCTGGGTAAACTAACAACACGTTGTATTTGTTGTTGTTATTGATGTGAATATGTTGGTGGTAGTGCCGGTGCAAGTTCATTTCATCTCCTAATCAACTTCAGACTGTATGTTTAGTTTTCCAATTTTAGGATACTTCACATATAGCATAGACTTTGTGATAGTGTAGTGTGATCGTCCGGGTTAGTGTAATCTTAAGATGGACTTTTGTCGGTAGTGGTGACTGACGTTTCGACAACCTGAGTAGAAGTCATCATTAGAATCAAGAGAATCATTAGTTGTTGTCAGTCAATTGATCTAAGTCCGGTTCGTATAAACTGATTAATTCAGTTTCGCCGTGATGTTATCCGCCGTAAGACTCAAGTGGCGTAGGTCGGTTGCGATCGGTCGGTTTCGATCTTTCAGTAAAGTCAGGTCGTTCTGTTCGGTTCGTCTGTAATGTTAATATCATGCATGAGTCGTTTGTATGGTGCCGGTAGAGGTTGACACCTTTTGAGGGAAATTTGTTCTATGTTTGCAAACCAGCTTTCCAGAGTCAGTCGTTGGAAGTAGTTGGTGCTGTCAATTAGGCATTGCGCAGAGTCCCAGTCAATAGTGTGTTTCGTAAGTCGATGATGTTCAGCAATGTGATTGTTGAAATCACCTTTCCTCGTCGCTAGCTTGTGTTTAGTCAGTCTTGTTGTGAGTTTTTGTCAGTCTCGCCGATGTAGGAGGCGTGGCAGTCGGAGCGATTGATTTTATAAACCGCTCCCTGTCTGGTCCTCGGTTCGTCCTTGTCCTTGACGTTTGTCAGTAACTGACGTAGTAAAGTGATGGGTTTGTGGACGACGTGGATATTGAAGGGTTGTAGGATGCACCAGATGTTCTCAGACATGCAATATCAGACATGTCATCACGATGTAGTCCTTGGAAACATACTAAAATTGTTTAAGTTTGTCAACTAGCTCTTTTAAATTACCCACTGTCCAAACAATGATTTTTTTTAAAAACTGGCGGGGAATTCGGTAACTTCGCGAATGTCATTTCAGTCACATATCATGCTATCACTTCGACTGATTCGTGAGAATTTTTTTGAGATGTGAAACCGAGAGCACCGACATAGTGTGAAGTTGGGCTCATTTTGCACTGACTTTTTATTATCGGGATTAAAATTATGGTTAAAATGGAGTTTCCGTTCGCTACGTATGGTTCTGAATGATCGTAATGCCTTTCCACTCACAGTTCATTTGCTGTTGTTTAATATACTTTCAGAGGAAATAAAGCCATCAGTTATGATAGTAGAAGAAGCTGCCGAAATCTTAGAAGGACAACTTGTGGCAGCTATCCCGCCATCCGTTCAACACCTTATCATGATTGGTGATCATCAGCAGCTGAAACCTATGGTACAAAACCCCAGACTCCGAAAGACTAATAACCTTGATGTCTCCATGTTCGAGAGACTTGTGAACTGCAACATTCCTTTCAAGCAGCTTGAGTATCAATGCCGAATGAGAGACGACATTGTTGATTTGCTCCGAAGGCTAAAAATCTATAAGGAGCTTAAAACAAGGACGGAGGTAAATGCTGGAAAGTATGGACCGAAGTGGACAATGGCTTTCGCACAAAGTTTATCTAATTGAAGGTTATTAATTTTCTTGGGTGGAGGACACCTATTTGCCAGTGCTTTCCCTGCTGAGGCTAGGAGAGAATCGGCGCTCTTAGGGGTTTAAAAAAACATAAATTCTTTGTGTTACTTACGTCAACGATTCCCTCTGTTTATTAACCTTACTGCCAAACCCATTCTCCTCTCCTTGCTGGATTTAAATCACTCCTTTAGCTACAGTGAGTTAAAACTCGTTTTGCACGGAGTTACAGAGCTCGAAATTTACAGTTATTCGTTCTACCTCTCTAGCTAATTCGCAACAATGATTTTCCACATTGTGTGGAGAAGAGCATGTACTTCTGCCGCCACACAAGCGAGGAGAAACCATCAAAAGATTCCCACAGCAAACGAAACGTCCACGAGGCCAGGATGATCACGGAAGCTGCAAAAACGTTTTGTCAACAGGGAGTTCATCCATCTAGAATTACAGTACTTTGCGCATATCGAGGACAGGCAAGTGAACTTCGGATGCTTTTAATCTCTAAAACCGAAGTATGATTTGATCCTGGGAACATGGTGATGAAATTGATATCCTTTGCAAAGTTTAGGTGGGTCACAGCAGTTTACAGCTCTGTAGTTTTAATTGACCATTATTGCTACTCTGAGTCTGGTGATGGTGAAATACTCGTATTAAAATGTCCAATCTTTGCAAATCATATTATGACTGTCCTTGTTACTTTACTTAAGTTAAGCCATCATAACAACATTATAACCTGTTAAATACATTCTTATTTTTATCTATGAAAGTTAGCAACCTAAAATGAACTTGGAAACCACATTTCTATTTTTGAATGGTGTTCTTTTCATTAAAATAAAACTTTTCTGTAAATTAAGGAGGCTACAAATCCCAGTTGTTTAAAAATGTGCAAGAAGTTCCTATTGTTTAATGATTTTGGAATTGTTAAATAAAGAAAATGGGCGGGGGGGGGGGTGGCCAGCACTACGAGCACATGTGATAGCATTTTGATTGGTTGATTGGTAAATATTCTTCTGTGACAACCTTTATGTTAAAAAAAACGACCATGACATGTTCAGCAAAGTTTGTTTAATACCTTCTTTTCATCACCTCATGTAGGATGATAGCTATGATACATCGAAGAACAAGCATTGTACACAGTTGCAAGTGCTACCGTTTGACTCTCAGATACCTGATCGAATTGCAATGTATTTGTCAGTGTTTTCCTTTTTGGGGGGAAGACGAAGAACGCACCATCCACCATATCACCCTTTAGATGGGTGATATGGTGGATGGTGCAAGGCTGGTGGAGGGCGATTCTGATTCTCACCTTTGAAGTATCGCTTTCACCTATTGTTGCTGATGAGCCGTCCATCGCAACGGTACACAGAACTCACAGGTTCTTTTTCGTTTTCATGTTTTATTCTCCGTACAATAAGTCACTAAGAAGACTTATGAATTAGAATAAATTCTAGAAAACTCTCTCCCTGAAAACTCTTAATTTTTGTCGTGTCCGGTTGTCTGATTTTGCTCACACGTGTTCTGTACCTTATTTGGTAGTACTCGCAAGTGTCACAAACTAAGAAGGGTCGGGGCTCGTCAAAACTCTTGAACACTGTCGAGGAAAACAAATAATATTACATTGCTTTCAGGAGGTTATTTAGGGTACCAATTGCTCTATCTATGTTGTCCCCACTAGATCGATACCTAGAGAATACCACTGGCCATTTTTGTATGTTGTTGTAATTGTTAAGGTAATATACTCCTTTTGCAGGTCACTGAAATAAGAGATTTCTTCCAATCCTCAAATGTTGAGAAAATGGGTGAGATTGGAGTGACGACGATAGACGCTTTTCAGGTATGGAAAGTTCCTCTCATGTCTTTTATCAATGTGAAATATAATAATGGTTAACTTCTTTAAAAACATTTATCATTTTCAGTTGAAAATCCTTTCCTGAGTGTGGTCCCGAGGTATCTAAACTTCTCAAACTCCGTGGTAATAAATTGATATGACTAAAATCTTATGGCATTATTGAAGACAGTGTAACGAGTTAACTTCATTACTTCCCAATGTAAGCAATTCGCAAACAATTCAAGGGTGTAATGTGACTCGAACCCGTCACCCTCGCAATCATGGAGCGATTCTGTACCAAATGCGGTACTGCAAAGTGAAATTTCGGGATGCTGATTTTAATCCCGTGAAAGGAATGGAAAAATTTTAAAAAAGAACTATCTACGACGTTTGAGAATGAGGCTCTCATCATACCTAATCATTTTCTTCTACAGGGGCAGGAAAATGACATCATTCTCGTTTCTCTGGTCCGAAGTAACAATGAGAACGAGATTGGTTTTTTGTCGCAGAAGAATCGTATTTGTGTGGCAATTTCACGAGCACGTTGTGGCTTGTATCTCTTTGGTAATCAGGCTCAATTGGAGTATAGGTCACCAGTCTGGAGGGTGTGTTGAGTTATTCTTAATCTTGCAACAGATAGTTGGGTGGCCTGTGACTTACTGTCACTTTTGTGGACTTCTGATAAAAAAAATCAGGTTTTTAGTCCCATGACCAAGTTCTAGGGCAGAAAATCTCTTTATGAGTGTGCATACTCCACCCAGGAATATAATTGTTAGGGCAGCATGATGTAATGCACTTTGTTTTTGTTTTGTTTTGTTTTTTTCTTTACGTGGCGGTTTTATTGAGGGTAGTTCGTGATAGACGAGCGTTCCACCAAGATGCTTAAAGAAACTTGGAATCAACTGTATTTGTTATCTTATGACAAATGTGATGGAGTTTCTTGATCTTAAGTCGGTTTGAAATGGATTATATTCCTCCTAGAGGAAAACTTATATTGGTGTTATGTTTTAGCTTTTGTTTGGTATGTAAACACAACTTCAGAACAAAGAGAATGGTTAAACGTTAAACTTAACAAGAAGGAAAAATGATGAAGTATTCCTTTCTTTGCCAGGCTATCGTCAAGTTCATGAAAGAGAAGGATTGTCTCGTTAAAGAAATTCCATTTGTAACTGTAAGTAACACGCGAAGTGTTAACTGTAATATAAGCACTTGTTATGCTGTCGTTCAATTTCTTCCGAATTTGAGTTATGAACGAAACACGAGATACAGTGTTTCCTACGTTTAGTGGGTAACCTCCGCCCCCCGAGTAAGCGCCTCACTCTAATGAGCACGACATTTGGGACTAAATAATCGCTGCGGCCGTGGCACGGCGCTTATTCGAGGAATTGATTCTCAAGCTCCAATGCTACATACACAGTTGGATATCCTGAGGCAACTAGATGCAAATCCCTTCTATGGCAATAAATCCAAATTCTGAACTTCACCCTAAATTCGTAACCTTGGTTTGTTTAACTTTCATGCCTGCCCTAAATATTTGGGTGATTTCAGTACGTAGTAAAAACTTTTAAACCAAACTCAAGAAATCCAAGGATATGATTGATACAGAAACACAACCTTTCAAATTTCTTTCGTTTCAACTTTTACATGAAGGCTTCTGGTAGCCGTTCTGAGGGTGAACCCGAGAGCAGTTCTTCTTTAGATGGAAAAAGACATGGAGTTAGTAAGTACAGGATATTTATTGTCTTGTTTACGGTTATCTATGAAACTCATCGTAATGAGCGTGGAACAAAGATTAAAACTGTTCTTGTTCTTTGTTTGAAAAGCAACATCTTCGTATCCAGATTTGGAACGTAGTGTACCCTGGTGATTCTTATGATGCATACGTGTGAACTTTAATATAAGTCTGGACTGTTAACAGAAAAAAAGCGCCGAATGCATGTGAAATCTGGTGGCAATACTGCATTCTAAAGCGTCTTTTTTATATTTTTGTGATCTTTAGCAAACATAACGTTGAATGCGCAGATCATCAATGCAGTTATTGGAGAAAAAGGGACGTTGCAGTTTACAACTGGTGAGGTTTTTTGAAGGTGTTTTTGTATTTACCTATCCTTTTTTACCCCAATATTTTGCTGTAAGGGGAAATTCTTGCCGCACGGCTGAAAGCTATCGTTTCTTGTCATTTTTTCTATTTTCATTTTTGTCATGTTACTTTTTGAGACCTTCTTCAAGATCATGGCCAGTTTCCTTTCATTATTTAAGTTAACCAACAGTCTAACAGTCGAAGTGAGTGGCATGTTAATTACTATTGCGGGTGAAGAGAAATCGTCTCCAAAGTATCCTATGAAGCAGCAACCCTGTGACTACGCCGTGATAAGGTGGTCAACCCTCTGAGTTATGAATAAAGTCGGTTCGTTTAAACCGTAAGAAACTGGCAGTGTTGACTCACTTGTGTGCCAGAAGGAAATTAATGTACTGCGGCTATAAACCCACTTAACACTAGGTTCGCGTGCGATATTTGAGTCTAACTGCCGCCATCTCGGATTGCACAGTTTTAGAGCAAAAAGAATAAGTCACCTCACTATCCTGTACGATTAATAGGAAGGTGTGAACTTCAGTTTTATAGCTGCAAACTAAGAAACGGCAAGAGTCATCGCAATTTTTCTCCTCCTAGACAAGTCTACGTCGCGAGAGATGATAACTCATAATTTTCCAATACCTGCATCTGGTGAGATAAATGTTCAGAGTCTGTCGTCCGCTGGGACGCCCTTACAAGAAACAGAGAAATCGAAGGTCGAGACTGAAGAGCAGACGGAAGAGAAAGGCAAATTCCCTATTCAGGAGGAAGGTTTTGAAGAATTTAAAAAGGAAAAGCCAGTGCAAGAGACGCAAGTATCAAGAGAAGCGCAAAAAGTGAAGGACGAGGACATAAGAAAAGCGGGCGAAGACGACAGATTCCAACAAGAATTTAATAAAGGAGAACCACTTCAGGCCGAAAACGACCGTTCCACCGAAGCAAGTGAAAGTTACAAAGAAGAGGCGTCACCCATACAGGAGACGATGGCCGCGGGTAAGGGACCTTTTGAAGAGACTGGGCTTGAAGTTAGCGTGAAGATACAGCATTCGGACGAGAAGGAATATTAACTACTACCTGATCTTAAATGCTCACTAGCAAAAAAAAATTAATAGGAATAGTTGTAGAATATAGTGTGTTCATAGGAAGACATGCGTTTAACTTTGTAACTCGCCGTTAATCCTGTGTAAACAACTAAGGCCTCCAGCTGTCTTCGGTGATCATAAGTTTTAACTTTTGACAATTTTTATCTATGCGCAACATTTTGTGTGCTTAAGGTTTTAAGGGATGCTATTCTGATTTGTAGATTTTGCTATAATCATGTTATAATTAATGGCACTTTGCAAAGGAAAGCAAAGTCTGTACCTCTGCCAGAGCTTATCCTGGTTTCCTTAGCGTGAGGCGAGTAGGAGTATTACCCCTCCCCCCTGGTTTGGGGTGCTGGTTCTTCAGGGTGGAGAGAGGCACTGTGATAGTAAAGTATTTTGATAAAGAACCGAACAAAATGACCCGGCTATCTCTCTAACCCAGACTCCAGCGCACAAATCATCAGGCCACAACGTGTTCCACTAAGTACCTTGTAGGTGGTTAATTTTAGCGCTTACTCATCATTTACCAATCTGCGGCAAGCACAAACTATTGCTACTTTTAAATCCGGCTGCAGGGGTTTCCTTTTTGATAATAAATAAGTTAATTAATCACACAACATTCATGGAAAGCAGGCACTTCGCTATTGTTTTTATTTGTTGTTATTAGATTTAATTAAACAATGTAATTAATGCAATTTTAGTAACTACTTTAAGTCCTGATGTTTTATCTGTGTATAAATGAAGTTAAATAAATAAATAACTCTCAGGTACCAGGCACGCTATCACTGGCCGATTTCACCGGATATGGGAGCCTTCAAGTGCTTACCGTTCTTAGCCAAGTGTAACGAGAGAATTTTCAGTTTTTAAGGTTACTATGCTTAATGCTATCGAAACAACATTGAGACTGCGGAACTTTTGCGAAGCTCAGCAAAGCGTAAGTGCTGTCAGTTGTTGTTCAGCCAGCCTTGAACAGTTGTTGTTTGACATTATCAGTAGTTAGTGTTTAACTGTAGCCGTTACCTGTCCTAGTTTTTTCTTTAGTTGTTTGCGGTGCTTTGAGATTGATTAATCTTGTGAAAGGCAAAATTCCTTTCTAGCCAATCGTTGTTATTGAAATGTATAGGGTGGTTCAAAGCGTGACTTAATCCTTTAGATAATTCATGGCATTACCTAATCCTTTGTAGTTTGGGCTTGGATAGAACTGTGTCGTAAAGGTTTCTTTGGTTTCAACAAGCGTTGTGCCTGGTCACAACGAGTGTAGCACTTGGTCAAGGATAGGTCGGTATTTGATGAGGATTTGGTGTATCTTGACGTACCAGGACCGCAATTTAAAGCGCGTGTTTAAGACAAATTTATTGTGAAAGTTTTTTGTCCTAAGTGTAGTCCCAACCTTCGCGCTGTCAGCGAGTGTTCCCCCATGAACTTGTTTGAGTTTTTTTCCCACCCGTACTGTTATTTGTGAAGCAAGACACATTTTTTAAAGGCAAGAAACCTGTTTTTACACAAGAGAGAGAAGGGGAGAAAGGGAGAGTAAGAGAGGAAACTTCTAATTTGTCTGAAATAAACGCACACATCTGTTCATTGTCCCTGAGCTGCATTTGTTCCATGCACACTTTCGTCTCCTTTTCAGCATTGTTTTGTCCTGTCACGCAACGCCCTCTCTCCCCCGTTGGAGAAAGACCGCGTTGCGTGACGGTACCAAAACATGGGCATGCTTGTTGGATGATGTTTTCCATTTGTAAAGAACAAGAACATAACTTTCAAAAGCAGCAAAATATCGCATTACTTTACCTTAACTTTAGAAAAAAAATAACTCAAAAATGCTCAAAATTTGGATCGAACTCCACAGGAACTCTCGAGTCGAAAAATGCAAGCCGTGGGTGGGTTGAGGCAGGACAATTTGTGTAACTCCTTTCTCTCCTTTGGTCACCAAATCTGCACCATGGTCCCAGGCGTTCTTAGCCGAGATGCTAGAAACTGGGGATGAGAATCGCGAGCCTCCCCTAATAGGTTTGCCTCTATCACACTATTTTCTTCTGCTCAAATATCTTGGGGGGTGGTACAAAGGCCGAAATTTTTGCCTCATTACATGGAGTTATTAACATAATTTAAAGTGAAATCTGTCGCCCCACGCTAGAATGATATGGCTGGTTTTTCCCTCTTTTAGCTCCATCCTTGAAAAAATATCTTATCTTACCTTGATCACGTTTATATGATAGCTGTGGTAGCCTGCCCTGGCTGGTGGCTCGGTCTGTCGGGTATGGTAACCCTGTCTGCTAGGGTCGCAATGTGCTATGTAAACGTCTCAAGGAGGGTAACCCGCCTAACCAGGGTCGCGTTCATGTTACAAGCGCGTCAAAAACCTCACCCCGGAAAAAATTGTTCGTAAACGCAAGCTATTTTTCGAGCACGGCTAGGCAGGTTACCTCACCTACCTAGAGTACCCCACCTTCATGCAAACAAGCCCTTAAAGGGAAGACGGCATGACTCCTTGAACGGCGTGACGCGCTAGACAGAGAAGTTCTTGCCACGCATTTGTAACCGAAGGAAAAAGAAAGCCGGGAAATGTTGGTGTACTTCTTCCTAATTGGAATGTAAGGTACCATAATGATTCGATTTAGCGCCCTCCTTCCAATAAGCACCCCCTCCCTAAAAGAGCCTCCCTCGAATATGTTTTGCCAGTAAGCGCCCCTGTTCTAGTAAGCGCCCGTATTGAGTAAGCACTCTCATTTCAATAAGCACCCCTATTCTGTTTCAGTAATAGCACTGCTAGAGTGCTTGTACACTAAGATCAACCGTAGTCCATCTTCCTTTAATTGCTCACGTGAAGCCTCAAGACAAAAAAAGTGGTCTTTGTCCTAGTCTCTAAACTATTATGTCGCTGTGAGAGCTCAGTTTCTTAAAACGAAAGATCCTGCCTTAAAATTTTGCAACAATTGCTCGGCTAGTTGTTCTAGCAAGGAAGGGCCCACGGACAATAAGTGAGTTCTCCAGTCTTTTTGATCCCCAATCCAACGAACATCAAAGCTTTGTTTCACATTCAGCTGATTCTCAAAAAAGAGATAAACACCTTGTCCCCTTGAGATGAGCGCCCTGTTTCAAAAAAGAGATGAGCACCTTGTCTCTAGTGAGTGCCCTGTTTCACAAAAGCTAACTCTTGTGATAAATTGTTGAATGGGAGAGGGATAATAAACTTTTTTTTCATGCAGTAGGGTGCTACTCACTCAAAGAGAAGCCAGCTCTCATTAACGATGCAGTGACAGCGTCGAAATTCGTGAAAAGTATGCCAGGAATCTGGTATTAGGAATCTACCAAGACGTCTGGCAAGCTTAGCCGCTCAAACAGCTGTGTAAATAAGACCTTGCTCGCAGGCCAAGGTTCGAAACGAGCGTGGTAGAGTTCTGTACTTACAAATTGTTGCTTGGTCTAGGGCAGGACGATGAGATGTGTATCAGAGGACCAACAATTATGAAAGGTTATATTTGATTATGAGCGAACCATAGTACGCTCCTGAAAACTACGTATTCAAGGCCAGGTTACCCATGACTTCCGATGTCACACGTGTTTTCCGTAGCGTGAACCATCAAAGAGTGGCGCATGTCACTAACTCTCTCTACATGCACCTGAAAATTGTCACACTAAATTGAAATCGTGGAATACTTAATAAACTGAAAAGCCGCGGGCTAATTTACTCAGGTTTCCATCTCAACGTGAGGATCAGCAGAAAACTTTCAAAACAGTCAGTGCTTTGACGGGGGTTGAGGAAGGGAGGGGGGGGAGGAAAAATATCTTTTTTCACAACAAAGTGTTATTCTTGAACTCGCCGAAAACTAGCCGTAAATTGTTGTATTTTGATCTCAAAAGCGAATTCATTACTTGTGTATACGTTATTCAACGCTCTGTATACTCTTTCTGGAAAGCATAGCAGTCAGTTTCACGAAGTTTGTCGCTGTGTCCTGATCGGGGTAAAAATGACTAAGACAAATGACTGAGTTTACCGATTCAATAACGAGACCTGACGAGAGTTTAGCGATTGTGAACGACTAAGCCCGAAAAACCTCACGAAAATTGGTTCTTCTCTGTCTTGGCAAAAGCGTTAAAATTTCTCTAAGAGGAAAATCGCTCTACGCGCGTCTTCGCTATTTGTCCCCAAGCGGGTGCCGTCCCCTGGCCAAACGTTGGGCTAATGTCGAAGTAAATCTGTATACTCGTTTAATCTCTGTCTCGGCAAAAACGGTAAAATTTCCTCCAGTGGAAAATCGTTCTTTGCGACGCGTCTTCGCTTTTCGTCTTTAAGCGTCTGTATGAAGTGACAATTTCTCCCAGGTTACCTGAATAATCCTTAAGCTACCGGCCAAATGGTAGATAAGGACAGATGGGAGCACAACGGTGATACAAGACATTATGACGTAAATAGGGCATTTCGACGAGACTGGGGAGAACGTCACAGAATGTAGACGTGTGCTGCGAGGCTCCGTAAACCGGACAATTTTACTACCGTTTGAACGTCCATGGAAAAATTATTCATCACTCCAAAACGGAAAAGTAGCTATCGCAGTGATTCGGAGCCGTCACCAGAAGATAAAAGACTGAAAGAGTCTAATTCTCCGGCTAAGATATCGTGTGACGAAGACGAGGTCATGGAAGCACTCGGATCCAAAATAGATTTAGTGTTATCGAAGCTTTCTAACCTGGAAACAAAAATGGAAGAACTGAACGCAGCAGTCAAAGGTCTACAAAGCAAGGTAACGTCTTTGGAGAGAGAAGTAGATTCAGTGAAAACGAAGCAGAAAACCTTAGACGAATACTTCACTTCAATGGAACAAAGTTCTGTATTCGTTGACGAGCAAGTACAAGACCTGATAGCTAAGACTAATAAAAACAATGACGACGTCAGCGATACACGTAGAAAACTGTTATACTTGGAGGCCTACAGTCGACGCGAAAACTTGAAATTTGAAGGCATCCCCGAAACTTTCGCTTCGAGCGAAGAAGAGGGAGCTATTTATTTCATTCAAACCGCACTCGATTTTTATACCCGGCTCATTTTCATATTTTAAGAATGTAATATCTATCAACCTACTCTTATGGATAACGTTTGCTTTAATGTTCTATCCTTGAATGTTAGAGGAATTCGTGATCTCAACAAACGCAAATCGATCTTTACATGGGCTAGGAACCAGAAAGCGGATATTATTTTTTTGCAAGAGACATATAGTACGCCAGATGTTTTTGATAGTTGGAAATTTCAGTGGCTGGGAGATATGTATTATTCGCACGGATCCGATCATAGCAAAGGCGTTCTGGTGTTAATACGTGAGACCCTTCAATTTGAGTTGAAGTCGGTCAAGAAAGATAGCCAGGGCAGATTCGTCATCGTTGAAGCGTTAGTTCAAGATTCTCCCGTTTTGTCGATCAATATTTATGCTCCTAACAATATCCATGACGCTTTTGACTTCTATGAAAACCTTAGGACTACTTTACTTGAGAGCGACTATGACCAGGACTACAGGTTTATTATGGGAGGTGATTTTAATGTGCCATTAAGTCTTCAACTTGATAGCTATGGAAGTAAAACAGAAAAAAAAGACGTGGTAACCAAAATCCGCGAGCTAATGTTAGCCTTTAACCTAATAGATATATGGAGACTAAGGAACCCGGATAAAAAGCGTTACACGTGGAAACAAAATAAGCCTTTAGTCCAACGTCGGTTAGACTACTGGCTAATAAGCGATGATTTTCAAGATGACGTGGACAGCACAGGTATAATTTCTGCCATCAAAACAGACCACGCTGCTATTGTACTCCAGGTTAACAGTGTTGAAATGCAACCAACTGGGCCGTCATATTGGAAATTTAACTCTAGCCTGTTAGAAGATCCAGAATATATCAATCTTATAAAAGACAACGTTCCCTCGTGGCTAGTAGAATTTAATGAAGTGTTAGACAAAGGTCTTCTGTGGGATTTAATTAAATACAAAATAAGACAAGTAACAATGAAATATAGCAAAACAAAGGCAAAAGAAAGGAGAAGTCGTCTTTGCGAAATCGAGAATAAATTGAAAGAATGCCAAGAAATTTTTGACTCTAATCCGACAGAAAATAACGCTGTACAGCTGGAAACGATCAAATCTGAGTACAACTCACTGTATGATTATATTATTCAAGGTAATGTTATTCGTTCTAGAGCCAATTGGTATGAACATGGTGAGAAAAATAACAAATATTTCTTAAATTTAGAAAGTAGAAAGATGAGCAACTCTTGCGTCCGTAAACTTTTTGATAAAGGCGGTAAATTAATAACTAATCCTAAATCAATTTTATCAGAATTGTATGACTTCTATACTGAATTGTACTCTAACCGTGACCCACCCAATCATAACAATGTTAGCGATGCGTTTCTTGACCAATGTCGTTTGCCAACTTTAAACGAAGATGCCAAACAAATTTGTGAAGGGGTTCTTACAAAGGCGGAGTGTTTTAAAGCTCTACAAACGTTTAAAAACGGAAAATCCCCAGGTAACGATGGCCTGACAGCAGAATTTTATCAAGTATTTTGGCCCACCTTAGGACATTTGTTAGTTGACTCTTTAAACAGTTCCTATGGAAAAGGAGAATTGGCAAACTCCCAAAAACAAGGAATTATAAAACTTATTGAGAAGAAAAACAAGGATAAAAGATATGTTGCGAATTGGAGACCCATTTCTCTGTTAAACGTGGATGTTAAGATTGCGTCCAAAGCTATAACATTAAGACTCGAGAAAGTTCTTTCCGACTTAATTAGTGCTGAACAGTGCGCATATGTGAAAGGAAGGAACATCTTTGATGCAGTACGAACTATAGGTGATATTATGGACTATACAAAGTTATACAATCTCCCCGGTCTCATGGTGACCATTGACTTCGAGAAAGCGTTTGACTCCTTAAGTTGGAACTTCCTTTTTAAGACCTTGGAAAAGTTCAATTTTGGAGAATCCTTTATTAGGTGGATACGTCTTTTCTATACTAATATATCCAGCTGCATTATGAATAATGGTGTAGCAACTCCTCTTTTTTCAATCGGAAGAGGGGTTAGACAGGGAGACCCTCTCTCGCCCTATTTATTTATTTTAGCCTTGGAAACCCTCCTTACCGCTATCAAACAGACTCGAGATATAAAAGGTATAGTAGTAGAAAACAAAGAAATCAAATGTATCACTTTCGCCGATGACTTAACAAACTTTTTACGCGATAAGGAATCTTATGACTCTCTTAGTTCCTTATTGAACACATATGGTGAATGTTCAGGGCTTAAACTAAATAAGGACAAAAAAGAAGCCTACTGGTTAGGAAGTTCCTATCGAAATCACGAAGCTCTCGATATTAATAAGGTGAATGAGCCAATTAAAATACTAGGTATATTTTTCACTTATGATCAGTGTAAAAGCAGAGAGCTTAACTTTGACCTTACTTTAAAGTCAATAAGAAAGTCCTTAAGTTGCTGGCAATGGAGAAACTTAACATTAATTGTATCGGGCCTCCTTCATCTCTTTTGAAAAGGATATAATTAAAAGCATAAATTCTGTGATATTCAATTTCGTGTGGAGAGGCAAAGACAAAGTCAAAAGACTAGCCTTAATTAGTGAATACGAAGACGGTGGCCTCAAAATGCCTCACCCTGAATCTTTAATTAAAACTCAAAGAATTGTTAGTCTTGCAAGGTATTTAGATGATAATAGTGGTCCGTGGAAAGTTTTCTTGTCTCATTATCTTAAGAATGTAGGAACCAGTTTTCTGCTTCAGTGCAATTTCAATCCATCGCGCCTACCCTGTAAACTACCTTCTTTTTATAAAGAATGTCTTGAAGTTTTGTCTGACTTTAATGGCAATCACGATATAATAGCTACAAAACAGGACGTTTTAAATGTGACTATCTGGAACAACCAGAACCTCTTGATTAACAAGAAATCAATATACAACAAGAGAATAAAAGAAGCAGGTTTTGTGAAACTTGGAGATATTCTCTCAAATGACTCAAAATTAAAAAGGTGGGACGCTTTTAGAGAAAAAAATCTCCTTGTCAGATTACTTACTCCTACAAGGCATTTTTTTCCGCCATTCCGCCTAACTGGAAACAGCTCCTTAACGTTGGAGAGAATAATAACAACCGAATTGACAAAACTGTTTCAGACGATGTTCAAGATATAACTAGAATGACTTCAAAATCAATCTATTCCACCCTGGTCAAACGAATCCAGATTTCTCCGACTGCCCAATCTAAGTTTAATTCCGTATATAATATTTCAGGTAATATAGACTGGAAAAATATTTATCTATTGCCGGGTCGAGTCACTCTTGACACCAGAACGAGAGCCTTTCAATACAAAATCTTAAATCGTATTCTCTACACCAATAAAATCCTATATAAAATGAATTTGGTTCCTTCTCCGATGTGTACCTTTTGTGGAGATCACGAAGAAACTCTTGAGCATCTTCTAATCAGCTGTGCCTACACTAAAAAGTTTTGGCTTTCGGTTATTTCTTTGTTAAATACTTACAATATGAAAATTGATAAGCTTGATGAGGTAACAATCCTCTTTAGTATTTCCGATAATAACCCTGGGAATTGTTTGTTAAATCACATAATCATTCTTGGAAAATATACCATTTATTCATGTCGTTGTAAAAATATCAAGCCGTCTGTATCCTTACTGAAGGCTAAAACATCTGAAACTCGGAAATTTGAATTTTTGATTGCAAAAAAGAATAAAAAAGAATCTATTCATTATAAAAAATGGGAAAACATGTTATTGTAACTCAATAGATGAGTATCGGGTATTAACAGTTATAGACGCAGTTGTATATACAGTCGTTCTACCAAAAAAGGAATTTGATGTAGAAGTATTTGTACAAATTAGGCTTATATTATTATATAACCACAACATAAATTAAATCTAGCCGACTGTGAATGTAATGTAATGTAGTATTTCGTAATTAGTGTTAGTGAGTAGCGTAAGCGTTAGTATAATTAACTTTGTATTTGTTTGTATTACTCTAGTATTTGTGCTTTAAGTGAAAATAAAAAAAATGTTAAAAAAAAAAAAAAAAAAAAAAAAAACGACGATTCCATTTCATCGAAAGTGATTCGGTGTTTGGCCGAACTTTGAACTTTTTGTGCCCTAAAGATGTGAAAATATCATTGTATATTATTGTTTTGATCGTACGCGGTTCTTTTGCCCGAACGCACCGTTTGAATAAATTATTTTTTCACTTGATGCGCGCGCTTTGCCTCTGCACAATTATGATCAGCTATCTCGTATTTTTTCATGTATGTTATTGATACGTAATCACATGATTTTTCTTGTACAATTTGAAATGAATAAGCACTTGTGAACTGCACTCACTTGGTGAGTGACCAATTGACATCTACGTAATGACAAACGGCAGTTGAATCCCTCGGAGGGCATCTAAATGTCCACATTCATTCTGTGGTGAGACTGGGAGCACATGTGAAAGTTCGGAGTCTCCGACATATCTCCAGCCTTCTTCTCAGATAACGCTCGGGTCCAAACGTTCCTCTACGATGAAATAATACAAAGTTTATGTTCTTGGGCATCACTATGTATTGCGCCCGACTTAGAGTCATTTTAGCCCTTTCCGTTAGGCGAAGGTTATGACTCTGAGAAGGGCCCAAAAACACAATCATGCTTCAGAACATAAATTATTTTACTATCATTTACACTTTTGGAGGGTATTGAGAAAATAAAAACCGAAGAATTGGGGAAAAAATTCAGAAGGAAGGAGAGGGGATTCCGGATGGAGTGGGTCAGTAGTATTCTGGCTATCCGCGGCCCCTTCCCAACACCGTACAAACATGGCCGGTCAGAAGGCTTCACTGCAGGCTAACAATGGCAGAGCGTTACAAGACATTGCAAAGCAAGGCTATACGTGGAAAAGCCCACGAGGGAAGAACTGGGATACTGTAAGCTTCCAAAGTTCACTGCGCGAATGAAGTGGTATTCAGGTGAGGTTCGTTGAACAATTTGGAGGGCCAAATCATCGGAATGGACCGAAGTTAAGACGATAGAATATAGCATCCTTTGTGACATTCTTGCTAAATTTAGCCAGTTTGAGACCCCGACAAAGAGGACTGGAGACTACTTACTCCTTGCATGTGATTGGTCGATGTCTTGGAACACCAAAATTTAAAGGTGAAAAAGACGACTGATTCCTTTCGATCAAAGCTTCCATTTCTTTCAAACGTTTTTAAACTTTTATTTCGATAGAGCGATGGAAGCTAGTGACTTAGAATGCTGCTTGACAGTGGAACACCTCAATTCCAATGGTGTGGTCACGAAACGGCGAACGTACAAGAGTATTACAGTTGTCTTGGGTCGAGATGAATTTCGCGACATCGCTCTCGGAATTGTCAGTAGTCGATCTCCGTTGGGAAAGACTTTTCTCCTGAAGGAATTAACCATTCACAAACGGTTTTTACAGGAAGGGAAGGCTACAATCAAACTTCTAACACAGAAGATACAAATAATGTTTTCGAATTGTCCACCGAATCAGCTCGCAGCGTTTTTAAAATGTCTGTCATTGAAACTTGCTCAAAGTAAACAAAATGGAATTGCGAGTAACAGAAGACGGCTTCTCAGTGATAGAGCGCGGTCGTTTGAAAACATAAGCCCTCTTACAGACAAGGATTTCACAGTAGGCTGTAAGAAAAGACCACTAGAAGATAAGAACGGTGTGACACCGAAGCGAATTAAAACTACAGGTAAAGAAA